GAAATGAAATGAAATAAAATAGAATAGAATGGGATTTAAGGTCCAACTTTTTAATTATCCGGGATAATGAATCCATCTGTCAACGGTTCACTTACACGGGTCACATGTACATTGATGGGCCTCGATTTATTGTCCTATCCGAACAACTAGACGCTTTATTATTGGCAAACTCGTCGTCCTGCGCCAGTGACAAAGGGAAACTAGACTGAAAAATCCAAATAGTTTTTTTAAGCCAACACCGGGATCAAACCCACTACCTCCTGGATAGTGAGCCTGGCTTCCCGTTCTCAGTGATGTAGAATTGAAGATCTTGCAAGGAAAAGTGTCTAGTCGTTCGGACGGGACAAGAAACGAAGTCCCGTGCATATCATTGGCAGCATAGTAAATATCCTCTCACAGTTGAACATCTGATACCACGTCCTATTTACAGAGTTCAGATATTATTTTTTCTCGAGACAATATTTCTATATTAACCTTTGTCATAACTTCTGTTTAGTTCGTGGCTTTAAAATTTGATTGGGTCTACTTTAAAAAAGTATATTTGTAAAAAATCGCGACATTTACCGCGGTTATTTGTATTGTATGTTTTCATTGGCTGGCACACTATGTTCGCCAACGAATCACCACTTAAAACAAGGGTTCAGTCAAGGGAGTTCTTTTTACCATTGTATTCGAAGGTAGTTCCAGGAATTAAGTTCACGGCATCTTAACCATTAAGTTTCTTGATGTTATCCCGATAATGTCCTCAACTGACCCCCACCCCCGCTCCTACACGTCCCCCGAAAAGGAAAGACGTGTACTTTTACAAAATTTGCTACTCTAATGCTAAATTGTTACGGTTAAATTGATTTGATATTTTCTAGATGGACGCATCCATCTCTGTAACATGTTTGTGAAAAGTGTTAATTTCCCCTGGGGCACGAGGTAAAAAGATTTATGATTTAATTGAATAATTTCTTCGAGTGAACCAATCGATACTGAACCTTGCAGGTCAGAATGCAGACATGGTGTCACGATTTCTAAGCGCCGTCAACGCACCATGCTTCGTGCAGTGGAAAAGAATGCGGTTGTTGATAACGATATTCTAAATTCTAAATTTTACCTGTTTCGAAAAGTGAAATGAAATGAAATGGGGTTCAACGTCCTACTGTTCTGCTCCGAACTGGGCTAATAAAGACGGGCATACGCCATACAATGTGCTATGAGGGAAATTTTACCTGGACAGCGGCACTACGGTCTACTCTTATATCGAATTCCAACTGTCAAGGGTTATTCTTCCAAGGTAGGTTTTTATTTTCCTTAGGAAAACATGATAAAAGGGTTTTTTCTTACTGGAATTCTAGGATATTCTCATTGTACGTACATGTAAACATAGACGGTTTATAAGCAAGATAAAGTCCTCGACCTCGATTATGCTGAGGAAGAAAGACTTTAAAAAAAAAAAACCTCGACAGAAAAACCTCGGCCTACTGGCCTCGGGTTATTTTCTTCAGCCTTTCTTTCCCCAGTATAACCTCAGTCTCGTGCTTTATCCTACACATATTGAGGTGAGTCGTAGCAATCGTGTTGATCGTATCTGCACGTATCTGCACGTATCAGATCGTGGACCCAATAGAGGGACAATCCTATCGTATAAACGCATCGTACGACAGCATGGGAACGGAGTATTAGGTTATTAACTTTAGGGAGATTGATGACGGTCATTTTAACATTTTTATGTCCAAAATACAGAGAGAGAGAGAGAGAGAGAGAGAGAGAGAGAGAGAGAAATGGGGTTTAACGTCCACTCGACACAAACTAGGTCATTTCGGGACTAACATATGGTTTAATTTTATTTCAATAATTCGCTTGCGCGTAATAAATATATAGAAGTAATAAATATACAATACAATAATCATATGTATATATAGAGAGAGAAATGGGGTTTAACGTAAACTCGACACAAACTAGGTCATTTCGGGACTAACATATGGTTTAATTTTATTTCAATAATTCGCTTGCGCGTAGGGGTCTTTAGCAGTGAGAATAAACCAAAGGACCCGGAGAAAACCCACGAGGTTGGACAGGCGACCCTACTCCTTGTCACGTACAACCGGGGATTCGAAACCACGCCAGTTGACTCAACGACAGGCCTTATGATACAGCGCACAGCGCGCACGTGCTAACCATTCGGCCATCCAACTCCCCGTCCAAAATACAAATTGAAATTAGATATATTACTATGTTGCGTTACTAATCAATTATCTGTGTGGAGGGGGAGGGGGGGGGGGTAACCTCTGCAATCATACTAAGCATTTCCTGTCTGAGACACGGGATTTACCCGATACGCAATAACAGAAACAAAACACCTACTGGACAGATAATTTTTGTTCTCGTCTCAAGTACATCAATTGTTTCCTCACTAAATATGGCTATTAAACGTCGGATCAATCTTACACGATATCTGTAGCCAGCTTATCATTAGTTTCAGGCTAATGGAACCCACCAGGCGTTAAATAGAATTTTCATGGAACTTCACAACAAGACGATGGAATCCTGTCTACACTAAAATCATTCTAACATTACGATCTCCCATTCTTCTTTTCCATTACTTTTCTCATACATTCTCGATTATCATGACGCGATCTATATTAAACATTGATGAAAGAATAGACACTTGTAACAAGAGACTACTACTTGACTTGATATAAGACTCCGGTAGCGTGCACATGTTAGGTGAAGCTCGAAGAAAAACTACTTTAAACCCATGGCTATATTTTCAAAAAGAATGTCAACAAATGGCATAAAGTTAATGGAGTTCGTATCTTTAATACTGGTAATAGGTTTTCAGGAAGAAAGATTGGGGATTTTTTTTTGGTATTTAGACTGATAAATGAAAATCGGATAGATATTGTCTGCCGAACTATAGATCGAGGAAATTATGTGTCTTGATTAGAGACAGAGTACTAAACATTCATCGACATTTGTACATTTGTTATTGATTAAGTTAACCCAACTCAAACTTTAGTCTTTATATAAAAATATCTGAAGCGTTGGTGTAGAACTGACATGGTTTGGTCCTTAATAGAAATTGTTTTCAGTGTCACCAATGGTGATGGTCCCCGATCCGTTCCCGGTGATGGTCGAGAACGTTCTCGAGATTTTCAAGATTGAAACCATAGAGAACAGACATGGTTTGGTCCTTAATAGAAATTATTTCAGTGTTACCAATGGTCCTTTAAAAGATGGTCCCCGATCCAATGCCGGTATTGGTCGAGAATGTTCGTCGAGATTTTCCAGATTGAAACCTCATTCCTTATATAAAATATCTGTATCGTTCATATATAACTGACATGGTTTGGTCCTTAATAGAAATTGTTTTCAGTGTCACCAATGGTGTATAAAAATATAGCCCCTATTTCAATCCCACGGTGTGTTGCCCAGAGAGTTATTCGGCGTTTCTTGACCACGTTTCTCCTTGGTAGTGCTGCAGGAAGGAGAGTCTAAAAAGAAGACTTCTTTAAGCCACCCGCTCACCCATTAGGTTGCATTACTGTGAGTGCTTACAGCTTTTCATGTTCTTGGCGGACAATCCTTGGTTGACCAATCTTCCTATTTGTTGCTAAGTCTCATGAAAAGCAAATCGCGTGGTATCTGCCGCTAAAACAAACTAAAGATTTAGTTATATTTTATATATTTAGTGAAATTGGGATAAAAGTCCATGAAGAAGGAATTAATCGGAATCCAACGAGATCTGGTCACCTTGAGTTAATAAAAGCAGTCTATAAAAGTTTGAAGCTCTGTAATCTGTTATTCCCAGATGGCCAGCCTACTTTAAATTACATTAAGATAATGATTACCCTAGCGTTTAAAGATGATGCTTTCAGACATCGTAAAAGACGTTTATTGTCGCCTGTTTAATATCGGATAGTGTCTAACCAGTCAACCATTTTAAGTAGTACGATCATGACAACTACAATCTCGTGAAATGGATAAAAGCACTTATAAATGAAATGAAATAAACTGGGGTTTAGCGTGGACTTCTCTGTGTCAGCCTGGCTAATGAAGACCGTAATCTGTCTTCTTGCGTGGTATAAGTAGGGGCACTTTGCCCGGACAGTTGTCTTTCCAACTGCTCTTCGGGAGGGGAGGGGGGTCACGGTGGCTAAGTGGGTAAGATGCTGGCTCGCTAGCCTGGAGGTCGGGTGTTCGATCCCTGCATTGGCCGAGAAAGTTCATCCAGATTTTCCTTCGTGGTTCCTCCTTGTCAGTTGAGCAGGACAGATGGAACAAAAAACCGAGGTCCCGTGTACTCAGTGGCATGCACGTAAAAGATCCCTTGACAGTTGGAATTCGATATAAGAGTAGGTCGTAGCGCCACTGTACGGGGAAATTGCCCTCATAGCACACTGTATGGCGTATGCCTGTCTTCATTATCCCAGTTCGGAGCAGAACTGCTCTCCGTCGAATTCCAATTGGTAAGGATTTTTTCCCGTGTCCGCCAACAAGCACGTTTTCATTGGCTAAGTCAGGTCTCTGGAGTTAGACTTCTTTAAGATGTTTCAGACCATAATAATAAATGACATAAGAACAAAAAAGAAACTAAATCATGGCATAATTTGAAGTAGACTGTCCCATTAGGACATCATTACATATTTTCATATAGTTTTGTTTTATTGATTAATTTAAATGTGATCCCATTTCTTTCTAACAATCTTTAACCTAGTACTATATAACATACAGAGTTGAATAGAAATACATTTTTACATTAATGGTAATTTGTATTTCGTAATTAAAAGACAACCATTATGTATATTTTAGGACCGACAAGATGGGGAGATCTAGAGTAATATAGTATCTATGTATATTGTACAACCGAGATCTAGAGTAATATTTATGACTTATGTATATTTTAGGACCGACAAGATGGGGGAGATCTAGAGTAATATAGTATCTATGTATACTGTACGATCGATAAGATGGGGAGATCTAGTGTAATATATGATTTATGTATATTTTAGGACCAACAAGATGGGGAGGTATAGAAGACAGCTGGAAGATATGTACAAAGGGCATGTACCAATCGCCAATCAACATTTTACCTGAGAAACTCTTGTTTGATCCAAACTTAATGAGACTCAACCTTGATGCCAGAAAACAGGTGAGACATATTACAGATCATTCTAATTATACCAGGGCCCGCGACAGGTACCTCCGGCCCGGGGATAAACACGTGTTCTGCCCCTGGGCTCGAAAAGTGTTGAATGATACCGCGGCATATCTGGGGTAACTTTGCTAAAACACAGAAAATGAGAATTAACACAACATATAACATACCAAATACATTGACTGGTTTCTAGAAAGATGAACATCTTCCTTTCCTGCATAGAGTTGCATATGCGATTTAGACATCCCAATGAATCGTCCTTTGCAAAATAAGACCAGGACAATAAAATGATACTATTAATAGTGATTTACACCAAACCTTCTTATATAAAAAAAACGTTCGAGACGAACAAAGTATACCTCATGTTGCTTTCTACAAAAAGATACTAACATCACTTAGACATCACCCAGGAATCGCCTTTTGCACAACATGACCAAAACAACAAAAGTAATTTACGTCAAGCATCAGAAACTGTTGGATCAAGATTTTAAGGACTATTCATACCCTGGAAAAACAACTTTCCACGGCGAACCTATTTTCGTTATGGCCTTTACTTTGTGCGCATCCAAATCTTCTTCGTATTCAGCGAATCGTGAATGATTGTTCTAACGGGTGTTCGATCCCTGCATTGGCTGAGAAAGTTCATCCAGATTTTCCAGCGTGGTTCCCCCTTGTCTAGTCGTTCGGATGGGACGAAAAACCGAGGTTCCGTGTACACATTGGCGTGTACGTAAAAGAGTTAGCCGTAGTGCCGCTGTCCGGGCAAAATTTCCCTCTTAGCACATTGTATGGCGTATGCCCGTTTTCATTAGCCCAGTTCGAAGCAGAACAGTAGGGCGTTAAACCCCATTTCATTTCACTAAAAGTATGCCCAGGACAATATTATGTAGAATTGCTATGGTGTATACAATAACCAGACGTGTATACTAGCCACCAGGTCGAGTTGTTAATATGATTTATAAAACAAATGAGATAGTCTAGAGAATAAAGCACAAGGCGATTATTGGTATTTGTGAAGAAGACGGAACGGTGATAGATATTCTGACAATTTGTCTTCATCTTTGTCAGAGAATTAGTTTCCTAGCTGTATGAATAGAGGCGGCACTGATATATTGAACATGTTGGGTTTCTTCTGGAAACTGCTCCAGGACATCGGTGTATTATCAAAGGGTTCTGTATTAAAGAATGTAGTCTGAATTTAATTTATGAAATGACCTTAAGATGAATTTGTCTACATTACCACATGAATAGTTAATTTCGTTTTTCTTAAAGTAACAGAACCAGCGATATTTCTTAAACATACATTATGAAAGAGCTAAATCTGCCAATTGCAGGTCTTTCTTTAGGCCCGAAGGAAATGTTATCTAAATTATTAATTAGACATTAATTAACTTATCCAGACCATAATCAACTCTCGATGACATCGCTAGCCTGCGATATTTACTGGATTATGATCCCATTTGCTGCTCGACTTCCACTATAATTTATCTTACAGACTTTAGAAATGATGATCGAGGCTGGGCCGAAATTTCAATCGCCTAATTCTCGGTTCATAGTGGACCAATTTGACTAAAATTTCCAACAAATTGCCTTTACATTATCTAGTTTTTAACTATTATAGTGAGAACTGCCAGCTCTTTATCCTATCTCCCATAATCCAAATTAAGATTTAATGAATAAAAATATTGTTTATAAAAATTTTTAAAAAATGTACAAACATTTGTAATTTATGTTAAATAGACGGTTGGTCATGAATCTCGCATGTGACTTTGATTTTATTTTAAGTGAAGCATGTACCACTTCAGAACCGGTTGTGTTTTAGTTTTCTGTTTGGTTGTTATATGTGGTGTGGTTGTTATGTGTGGTGTGTGGTGTGGTTGTTATATAGGGTATGGTTGTAATGCGAATGTGGTTGCTATATGTGGTATGGTTGTTTGTAGGGTTTGGTTGTTATGTGTGGTTTGGTTGTTATGTAGGGTGTGGTTGTTATGGGTGGATCTTGGTTTTTCGTTCCATCTCATCCACAAAATACTTTTCGTTGCCAGGCCCTCCGACCTGTACTACTGACCAGGTAAAATTAGTCTGGAAAATACTGAGGAACTTTCTCGGTCACCAGGATCGAACCTGGATCTTCCTGCCTCCTGTTTTGTGATCCAGCGCCAAATGCACAGAGCCACCATCCAGCGTGAATACAACCCAGTTAATCCAAAATGTCAATTTCAACACCCTCTTGGAATTTAACCTGAAAGTCAGCATGAATACAAAACCGTTAGCTACACGTGACATCTCTCTCAGCTGAACACAGTTCTATCAGTAGTCCAGGTCAAGTTGATAAACCACACTCCATATTCGTCTCTCTAATTAATAATACACGACGGAGGCTTTGTAACAAATAATTTAATTTGTTCATGGAAAATATCGTATAGTAACTTAATTAGTTTCATAAACTGTGGAGTCTGTTTCTACTCTAGAACAGGGTTTAATCAAATCGGCTACACATTCATTCTATTTAATGTAAAATGATTCTCATACATTCTGGCCTCATCGTCTTTCAAACATTGTTGGTTGCTTTCAGTGTTGTTACTAAAACAATTACATTTATGATATTTATATAAAAAAAAGGTGACCCTGGAGGAAAAGCAATGTTGCTAATTCGACAATTGATGGGCCATTCGCCTATACCTTGAAAGCTAGCTGAGTTTTCCAGATAAAAGGCCGTGCAGTCATTTATAATAATGAACTATTTTGTCCGATTGTTTATAAAATCGAATAAGCTCTCCGACTATTTATAAAATCAACTAAGTTGTCCGATTGATTATGAAATAGAGGAAGCTTTCTGATTGTTTATGAAATAGACTAAGCTCTCTGATTGTTTATAAAATCGACTAATTTGTCCGATTGTTTATAAAATCGACCAAGTTATCCGATTGTTTATAAAATCGACCAAGTTATCCGATTGTTTATGAACTAGACTATTAAGATGTCCGAATGTTTATAAAATAGACTAAGCTGTTTGATTGTTTATAAAATAGAGTCGAGTGTGCGATTGTGTATAAAAAAAAGAGTAAGCTGGCCGACTGCTAAGATATTCAATTATTCATAAAATGGAGTAAACTATCCGATTGTTTATGAAATGGAGTAAACAGTTCGATTGTTCATAAAATGTAGTAAGCTATACGATTGTTTATAAAATGGAGTAAGCTATCCGACTGTTTATAAAATGGAGTAAAATATCCGATTGTTTATAAAATGGAGTAAACAGTTCGATTGTTTATAAAATGGAGTAAGATATCCGACTGTTTATAAAATGGAGTAAACTGTTCGATTGTTTATAATGTATTGCAAATGTGACCACCTTTTCCACCCCATATTTCCACCAACACACAAGGTTCTGTTCTCCGAGTGCACCATGCAGTAAATGAAACATTATAGTGTTTGTAGTTGGAATTCAGTAAGCGAAACAAGGCCAACTACATATGGCGGTAAATCCAGCAGAAAAAAATGAAATAGTAGAAGTTGAGAAAAATTATAACCGAAATGACGTTTTGTAAGGGGGGAATAATTCTTTTTATTATTTTTCAGATCCCCGGGAACCTTATAAATACAGGTCACGATCTGACCTTCTTACTGGATGACGTCATGTTCGGTCTGTTTAATATCAGTGATGGACCTTTAATGTACAACTATCAAGTCAACGAGATTAAAATACATTACGGTAGAGATGACGAACGAGGATCTGAACATATGGTAGATGGAGCAACATTCGCTGCAGAGGTGAGCTGGTGTGGGGAATACCCCAAAATGTAAATATTTTTGGAGCCTAGCGAAGAGATACTCAGACGCCCCAGTTTTCAAAAAATTTCAAAAATTATGCTCGTTTAAATATCCAAATTAAACGCCAAAATGTGACAAGATACTGAGACGCCACAGTTTTCACAAAGTTTTAAAAATTATGCTGGTTTAAATATCCAAATCAAACGACAAAATGTGACGTAATAGCCTATTAACTTTATCGGATTTTTGTAGTTTGAAATGCTCGATAGATTATTTAACGGGGTTTGTTTAAACAGCGCTTGCGTCTGGGTTATTACCTGTGTATCCAGGCACAACGCCATTGCTAGCCATGAACTTTTTCTCCGACTCCTCAGGACAACTTGAGTAGGTATTTATTTAAAAACGTATCTCAGAGGATCCGATAAATAGTTAGTAGGGAACAGAAGTTACCAGTTTACTCACTTGAATATATTATCTGGGATTTCTCCTTTAATATAAAGTCTGAAGAAACCAATCAAATGGGTCCTTATTAAATTATTTGGTTATAATGGAGAAATAGTTAAGTAGTTATAGATTAAGAATATCTTGTATCAATCTGTGTCTAAACTGTGTTATTTTGGTTGTTTTGCAGATACAGTTTATAGCCTATAATATAGATTTATATAAGAATATAAGTGAAGCTAGAATACAACCATATGGTACAACCATATTAGCTGTTTTTGCCGAGGTAAGTATATAAGTATTAATATTTCACCGTTTTAAGTTAATACTGTTGTTATAATTCAACATTCAATCTATAAATACCAGGTGTGCAAATTAAAGTGAAATGAAATGAAATGGAGTTTAACGTCGTACTGTTCTGATCCGACTGGGCTAATGAAGACAGGCAAACGCCTGTGTGCTATAAGGGAATTATTGGCCGGACAGCGGCGCTACGACCTACTCTTATATCGAATTCCAACTGCCAAGATTTCTTTTACGGCACTCAAATGTGTACACTGGGGCTTGGTTTTTCGTCTCATCCGAACGACTATACATGTACTTTGTCCCCTACCAGGCCCTCCGTTCTGTACCAATGACAAAGGGCGGGGGGGGGGGAGTGGGCACGTCGGGATTTCCCGACGAACTTTCTAGATATTTCTGAGATTATCATCTTCCAATAATTGCACATTGTAGAAAAATAATCGTTAAACTATGTATGTTTTCCCTAAAGTTAAAGCTGAAGACTTAACTAAAGTCTTACATGCCATATTGTTTTCAGTAGTATATTAAAAAATATAGCAACGGGGTTCCTAAATATTTCTGAGTTTATAATCTTCCAATAATTGCACCTACCCCCACTGAACTGTGTTTTCCTAAAACTAACGTCGAATACAGTTCTCGTTATAATAGCGAAAAACTGGATAATGTAAAGGGGGTATGCTGAAAATTTCAGTCAAATTGGTTTACTCTAAGCCGAGAAAACCTTATTTTAAAATCACTGTAGTCTCGATTGTCATTGTTACCGCTGTCACGATAACAAAGTCTCGGTTATCCTCCTTTGCGTTTAATCAGCAATAGGCGTTGGACAGCAGATCGGATTCAAATCCAATGAAAATAAGATACATAGGATGGCATCGAGAGTTGAATATGGTCTTTTCGTGTTAACAAATGTCTAATTTCAGGCCTAAAGAAAGAGCTGCAATAGACAGATTTAGCTCTTGCATAATGTATGTTTAATGTACTGTTAGTTTAAAATGTTTCGGAATTTACCATCGAACTATTGCATATTCAGACAACTAACTGCTGAGCTAGATAATGTCCTAACGCGAAGGTAAACCAAACCATTTCTTCATGTGGATAACGGTGATCCTATATGTTTCCGAGTTTATCATCGTCCAGTAATGAAATATTGAACTGTGTTTTTTTTTTTGGTAAAGCTGTCTACCAAAGCCGAAGTCTTTAACTACGGGCCTTCATTCATGTCAGTCAGATCAAAAAAATCTCATGTGTATTTTGATTATTGACAGAACACAGTCAGCCATTATTGACTTGACTAGTTCAATATTTGGTTTTGATTAGCTGTACACATGGCATGACATCTCTAGGTTAAATAAGTTAATAGAACATTATAGATAATCTTTGTTTAGTTTATCCATGTTACCCGCGGTCAATATTACATCAATATCAATCAGTATTGTTTAATATAGAACTGGTATTAAGAAGCCCTGACATGTTTATTGTTTGGCAACTGTGATTAGACATAAAGGCCTGTGTTTAGACAACAAATCAGGAAGGGGAATACTTTATTGAAAAAAATTAGACATGTCGAAATGAAAGTGTTCATCCCACAATAGTTATGGTTGAACGAGTTATATATATAGAGAGAAATGGGGTTTAACGTCCACTCGACACAAACTAGGTCATTTCGGGACTAACATATGGTTCAATTTTATTTCCATAATTCGCTTGCACGTAGGGGCCTTTAGCAGTGGGGGAAACCGGAGGACCCGGAGAAAACCCACGAGGTTGGACAGGCGACCCTACTCCTTGTCACGTACAACTGGGAAAACGAAACCACGCCAGTTGACTTAATGACAGACTTTATGATACAGCGCACATGCTAACCATTCAGCCCCCCCCCCCCACACACACACACGAGAAGTAGGACGTTAAACCCCATTTCATTTCATATATAAGCAGTCGGAAGTCTTTAACAGATTTTATCTTTAATAAGTATAGAATGAATAAACACACGTGAATGTACGGACTGTTTCTATTTTTCTCGTATTCTTTTTTCTAATGACATTCAGTTACTTTTTTGAATTGTCAGATATACTCTTACAGTCTCATATAACAACTTTTGGTCTTCAAAGGAATTATTAAGCAGTGGACACATTAGCCGAATCGTTCGGCCGAACCAATCGGCGCCGAATTTTATTCGGCCGAATGGATGGACACACTGGCCGAATGCTTCGCCCGATTTAACCTGTCGATTGCATCACCTTTCACGTCACATGATTAAACATGGCGGCGTCTATGTCTTCAATCTATCACGTGATTGGCTAATGAATTCTATATTCGGCCGAATGCTTCGGCGAAGCGGACACACCAGGCGAATATAATTCGGCCGAATATATCAAACCTGTTTGATTCGGGCGAATGAAAGTGGACACATTAGGCGAATTTCGACGCCGATTGATTCGGCCGAACGATTCGGCCGAATCATTGGGCTAGTGTGTCCACCGCTTAGTGAGGAGAAATTCGCCCATGTAATTGTTATCACTCGTCACTTCAGTCAGTTATATAGAGGGATAACTCGTGTTTTCCTTTTGCGTTCGTCACTTCCGATTTTTGAAGCATTGATTATCGTAGCAATGATCTCTATGATAAAATAATTTTTGGAACGTGTTTAACCAGTTCTATCACAAATGTGATAAAGACTGGCACCAATGTTATCCTTTAACACAGCAATGTTCTAGGTCATAGTAGTCGAACTTACCAAAATTAAACGGGCCATACCCCAGGACCTGTATATAGGGCTTAAAGATTTAGTGTGCTGGAGAAGAAACTCGATATCTTCGTTGTTCCTATTTAGTTGCTATCATTTTATCTCATTGCAGATTGGTCTTCCTGAAAGTTCAACGTTTCAAACTTTAGTCAACTACGCAACACGAATCAGATATAAAGGTAAATATTTGATCAGAGAAGTAGGTATGGATAATACTGGTGTCATTTTCTGGATGTTTTGTTTTTACATGCGGTAGAATTTTCCAAACTGACCCACGTGGCATCTAATACTAATCACTTGAACCATGGTCTTAATCTTGTTAAAAGAGACAAAAACAAACCCAGGTAACTCGTTCGTTTTCACTCTCTTGTCTAAACACAGACAACCCAGCCCAGCCAGGTACCATGTCAAACCGTGAAACAGGGATATTCTAGTTACCAGTCCAGTCCCTGAAAAAACTGAGAAAAATTGGTGTGTCAATAATGGTGATTGGTGGTGTATATCTGGACACGAATTTAACATTCATAAGCCACATCAACACTATAACAGCCCCCCCCCCCACCGCAAAAAGTTTCCCCCCCCCTCCCCGTGAAACAATTGTCGACAATGAAAACACTTTAGTTACGGCCCTGACTGCAACCAACAAAAAGCTAAAGGCTAGGACAGTGAAGTTTTGATACTATCATTTTGAGAGTGTAGATAAAGATAACGACGCAGGAAATGTTTAAATATAAGGTTATTAATGGTGATTTGTGCTGCATATTTGGACACGAATTAAACATTCATAAGTCGCATCGACGCTATACTGCAACCAACAAAAAGCTAACATTTACACGGTACACAGAAACAAAATAATAAGTGAATTTTCCATACTGTCATTTAGAGAGTGTAGATAAAGCTAAGGACACAGGGAATTTTTAAATATAGGGTGTCAATGGTGATTTGTGCCGCCCGGAATTCCAACTGCCAGGGGATATTTTACGTGCACGCCAATCTGTACATGAGACCTCGGTTTTCGTCCCATCCGATCGACTAGACAGCTCTCCTTGTCAAGCCCTCCGTCCTGCACGACTGACAAGGGGGAACCACGTCGTAAAATCCCGATGAAATTTCTCGGCAAGCACCTGGATCGAACCCGCGACCTCCAGGCTAGCGAGCCTACCGTACATAGAAACAGAATAATAAATACATTTTCTATACTGTTATTCATGCGAGATGTTATTTTTTATTCTGTTATTGGGCGAGCGGGGTGTGTGTGTTATTCCAGTATTCTAACAACACAAGCACCACAACAGATGTCAAACTATGTGTTCGTAAATCTCAACTTCTACATAGTATTATTTGATCATATTTTAAAGTAGCTAAGTCCATAACCCAATATCATCCAAAATCTTCGACATTGAAAACACGATTTTTTTTGCAATTTAAATCAGCATTGGTGTGGTGATCTTAACTGGAAAATATGGGCTTTTGATATCCAATATTTCAGACAAAATAAACATTTTACCATTGGTACACGAATCGTGTACCATAATGCGTTTCAGTGCAATTTGTAACAAGGTGCTCAAAGAATGAGGCTAGACATATATTCCACATGTCATATCAAACGGTAATGCCATATTCTTATTTGTAGAGCATGCACAATAAATACTATCGATGTTGACTGGAATAACCAGACGCTAGAAACTGACTTTCGGTTGAGACTTCTGGCGTATATCGCCGAACATAACTGATGACAATTCACAGTAAAACAGAAACGATTGAATGTAAAACAGTCTATATAAATTCCTATTAAATTATTATATGTGTTGCGACCCATTTGTGCCAATTTCTAGCTCCAAAATATTACCGATTTAGCTCCTTTAAGCTGCGTACATTGATTATTTCATGATCTAACAATAATTATAGAAATACCCGTCATGACCATTAATTATACATACAAGGAACAAACATTGGTTATGATTACACTGGAACGTAGAAAACGTCGTCACGCGATAGTTATTTACTGCTAGATGATGCTTATAGATATTAATAAAGGTTGGGCACCCGTCACGCCATCTGGCGTTACTTATCACAATCTGAGATTATTACGCCCGGGACTTAATCATTAACGTTCATTAATTATTGATAATCTTGTTCTAATACACACGCGATCCTCTTTATAAATATATCAATATAGATGGTAGCTAACCCAACCTGATAACTCATGATCGATAACTCTTAGATAATAAGGGGGGGGGGGGAGTGGATGGCCGAATGGTTAGCACGTGCGCGCTTTATCATAAGGCCTGTCATTGAGGCAACTGAGGTGGTTTCGAATCTCCGGTTGTACGTGACAAGGAGTAGGGTCGCCTGTCCAAACTCGTGGGTTTTCTCCGGGTCGTCCAGTTTCCTCCCACTGCTAAAGACCCCTATGCGCAAGCGAATTATTGAAATAAAATTAAACTATGTGTTAGTTCCGAAATGACCTAGCTTGTGTCGAGTTGACGTTAAACCCTCTCTCTCTCTCTCTCTCTCTCTTAGATAATAATTGTAAAGTAAGAATTCATAGACGACTAGACGACATGAAAGGAATATAAAGTTTCGTCAACACTACTATACTTTTGGGGCGATCGTGTGTTTTTTTCCCTCTATTAACATGTGCAATAGTGTGTGCATTAGTATACTTAAAGGGCCAATCTCGTTTATATTTTTGGCGAATAAAACTGCTTAATTTTGTGTGAAAGGTCCTTAAAAACCTCTACCCTAGGGCTGAGCAACAAACTCAATATACGTGATACGTTTTCAGACAACTTAAACCTGTCGGTCTTCATCTGGAAATGGAGACCGGTGTACGGTGTCTGGATAAAACCAGACTTTCATTTTCTTAAAATAACGTGTAGGTGAAATTTACCTTTCGTTATCAAGTACACCACATGCATCACGCACTGTTTTGTCTTCTAAAGGAACGGTAATAGATTATCGGGTCACCCAACGAACGAATTTACCCGAATTCTTAAAAGGGTTACGTGTCCGGATAAGCGATTTTGAAGTTCACGTCCAAACAACTCAATATTTTGAGCTGAAATTTGCAGACCAGCTAAATACAACATTCATCTGTATTTTGGCGTTTAAATTACATACGTGCACGGACTTTTATTTCTGAGATTATGTTAAAATCGGCATGGTCCCTTTAAGCCTAGCTCATAAGGGCGAATTGTTTCGCTTGTTGAAGCAATGAGCAAGAATTCAACCTAGCGCACACGGGCAATTCCCGAAGGGAATTTGTAAGCAGATGTGTAATTACTGGAAAACAATTGTGCGCGTCATTGCAACGACAAAGGATGCCGACTTTGATGTCCGAATAAGTTTGAATAAGTCAGGAATATTACCACGAGAGAACAATTTTATTTTCAATGACGAAAACAACAGTAAGGTTTAGGATAATCATAGTAATGAGTTACGGTTAGTATTCATAAATACAGTATTTACGAAAACACTGTAGTTACGAGGTAATCTTTATTCGTAAACACCGTGGTTACGAGGTAATCTTTATTCGTAAACACCGTGGTTACGAGGTAATCTTTATTCGTAAACACTGTAGTTACGATAAACTTTGTGTTAGTTTCTCTCTTTTTAAATAAAAAAAAGCCGATCAAAATATATAATCCATACTGTGAGACAATCCAGCTTGTTGTATTGTAGGGGATCACGTTGCTAAGTGGGTAAGACGCTGGCTCGCTAGCCTGGGGGTCGGGTGTTCGATCCCTGCATTGGCCGAGAAAGTTCATCCAGATTTTCCGGCGTGGTTCCCCCTTGTCAGTGATGCAGGACGGAGGGCCTGACAAGGACAGCTGTTTAGTCGTTCGGATGGGACGAAAAAGATCCCCTGGCAATTGGAATTCGATATAAGAGTAGGCGATAGTGCCGCTGCCCGGGCAAAATTTCCCTCATAGCACACTGTATGGCGTATGCCCGTCTTCATTAGCCCAGTATATAGGAGCAGAACAGTAAGACGTTAAACCCCATTTCATTTCATTTTGTTGTATTGTTTCAATTTCTCAAGTACTGTCTCGTTAATATCATGGTTTAAATACGACAGATGACTATAACTTCTGAACTGTTCTTTGAACAGACACAAAACACAAATCTTAATGTCGACATTCCTTTTAGTTGGATGCCGTTTAGGGAATTCTCAGCACTGGAACTGTAATCGCCACGCAGCTTTTACACAAAAAATATTTTATCTCTTAAAGTCTTTAGGGACGGGATATGTCTCTACATTAGAATAAAAATCCGATCTATAAAATTCTCTATGTAGCCATGCGTTCTGAAGTGTCCCCTCGAGTATTGCTACAGCAAACAAGATATGAATATAATATTCACGTTAAAACCTTTCAGAGTGTCAGACAAAGTTCCTCCCGAGGAAACGAGGATTATGATTCATTGTTAGCCTCTCTGACACAATATACCGATATTTGTATTTCTATGCACGTTTACAGAGGGTCGGTTTCAGTGGGACGTTATAGCGTTCATAATCTGATGATGATGATAATGATCAACTACAAAAGAAACGCCTCTAGTAATTGGTCAGATCTAAATATTAAGGCCACTTGCAGGTTTTGACGCAAATGACAGAGGTCAAGGTCACGAGATGTAAACAGAGTTAGAGCACGTGATTGTTGCCAATAATTGTGGGTAAGAGATAGGGTTAGCCCTGTTTACATCTCGTGACCATGGCGAAATCTGCAGGTGGCCTTAATATTTAGTTCAAACCCCTATATAGTTTTGATTTGCGTTAAGAATTTCCCCGGAAAAAATAAAGAGTTTTCCGGAAGGTAAACTGTCCAGTCTAGAAACGTATGGTATGTTCTAGAACATAACGTCTATAACGTCCATAAATGAACTACAAAAGAAACACCACCTGTATATATACTAGCTTAGTTATCCACGCCAACGTCACACGGATGAGACGTATAAAGTTTTTGATTTTGAGTTCAGAATTTGTTAGAAAAATAAAGAGTATTCCTGAAGATAAATAGCACCATTCAGTTCCCTGTTTATAAACTAAATGCATTTGACTGCATGTGAATTGCCTTATTTTGGAACTCAGTCTACTTAACGGAAATTGTTCTACTCTGTGCAATATTGGACTAATGTTTATTAGTAATCTCTATCTGCATACCTAACTTGACATGTATACCGGACTATAAACATAAATTAGCCTTTGGAAGCTATGCCTATTAAATTTATATAACTTTATATAAATTTATTTTACGTTCAATAGTAGGTCAATATCTAGCATATTTCAAACAATATGTATATTATAGTAGAAAAAAGAAAACAACATTTCATCGAATTATTTTGTAGTCAGTGGAAAAGTGTCACTTCTCCTTAAAACTGTCATTTCTTTAGTAAATATTTGATTTTCCGCTATAACAAGATGATCAGGTAAGCCAAGGGAATACATGCTGTGTTGAAAACTGATTCAGACGTGGAGTGTCTTGTTTACTGACTGCAATGTAGTGAGTGGAGTATGTATAGGCATTGGACACAAAACAACAGCCTTCGGTGCAATCTCCAATCTGTTATGGAGACAGAAATTGGGTTTTACGTCCACTCGACTCAAACTAGGTCATTTCGGGACTAACACTGGTTCAATTTTATTTTCAATAATTCGCTTGCGCGTAGGGATCTTTAGCAGTGGGGGGAAACCGGACAACTCGGATAAAACCCACGAGGTTGGATAGGAGATTCTACTCCTTGTCACGTACATCCGGGAAATCGAAACCACGCTAGTTGACTCAATGACAGACCTTAGGACACAACTCGCATGCGCTACCCCCCCCCCCCCAAAAAAAAAAATCTGCCATGTCTATCATTAATTACAGGAGGACCGCACCACGCATAAACAATTACACAACACAAACCCGTGGACAAGACACACAATATACACCGACACTTCAAACAACAAACGTATTATATCAAATCAAGTGAATCGATCCAGAGGCCAGCCGTAAACGTCAATTGTAGTCCTAAAACCGCAAAAATACACAACTGAATTAAATCAAATTTTATTATTTCTTGTAAATCTTTCGTTGCAGGGCAATCAATTCGTATAGAAGCCCTTAATATCAAGGATCTCCTACCTAGAAGCAATTATTACGTCACATACGAAGGTTCTTTTACACAACCTGGTTGTCAAGAAACAGTTACCTGGATAATCCCGAATAAACCTATTTATATTTCTAAAGCTAATGTAAGCTATTTCATATATTATATCATCCATTGTATTGTTGCTGTTTTTATTCACCTCACTCCACACTAGTGTACCATGCAGTAACGGGGCAGGGATGTTCTATTTGAGGGATGGTGAAGATTGGCTCGTGGAGTTTGCTCATGCGGTGACGTGGACTATCTCTTTCAAAAATAACATGAAACCGAGGCTAATTATTATTCTAAAGTCTATTACATTCATGTTCGCCATTCCCACTATCACGATTGAAATCGTGGTTTTAATCGTGGAATAATCGTGGGGATCCTATCAGGGTTTATCATATATTGTGGTCAGTCGCAGCAATCGTGTTGATCGTATCGAAACGTATCCGAACGTATCTGCACGTATCAGATCGTGGACTCAACAGAACAATCCTATCGTAACGCATCGCACGACAGTGAGAACCTAGCATAAACGAACTCGTGGGCATGTAACTTTAATTTAAATATTTTAAATTTGGCATCTTCCAAAGCAGACATTCTGTGGTGCCCCCATTACCATGATGCCCTAAGCACGTACTCATTTTGCTTAATGGTTAATCCTAAACTGAGAAGATATCATGGCCACCCAGATACACCACTGATCAATGAGATGCCTGATTTAATATCATACTTTGCCTTTCTTTTCCAGTTAATATCTCTACGTAATTTATATCAGAGTAGTTCTGATTTGCCAGTCTTTAAATTAGACAATAGTAGAAGATCCGTTATGCCATTAAATAATAGAGTTGTGAAAACCAATATAAATTATCCAGGCAGGGTAAGTAGTACAGGACGAGAAAGGTTCACACCGCCCAAGACCAGTAAACTCCGCCCACGTTTGAACAACCATGTCCAAATTAGACTGGAAGCCAGAACGTCCTGGGTTCTATCTAATTGTTCACCAAAAAGGAGTTCTTCGGATTTTTAAGTCTAATCAGTGGTGCAAGAGGGGTGACCTCATACTAAACGTACACTGGCTGTCTACAATTAAAAGACACTAAGCTAGTTGACCGACATTTTAATTCCTAAATCGACAATTTTAGTCGATAACACTACTAATTTCAGAATTTTGCTAAGTATTTGATTTGATTAAAAAGAAATGTCTGTGAAACGGAGTGGGACGCATTAGAAAAAAGTATACTAATTTTGGGATGTGGCGGCCATTTAGGAAATGAAATGAAATGAAATGGGGTTTAACGTCCTACTGTTCTGCTCCTAAACTGGGCGAATGAAGACGGGCATACGGCATGCAGTGTGCTATGAGGGAAATTTTGCCCGGGCAGAGGCGCTACGGCCTACTCCTATATCGACTTCCAACTGCCATACAGTGTGCTATGAGGGAAATTTTGCCCAGACAGCGGCACTACTATATCGAATACCAACTGTCAAGGGATCTTTTACGTGCACTCCAATGTGTACGCGGGACCTCGGTTTTTCGTCCCACCCGAACGACTAGACAGCTGTCCTTGTCAGACCCTCCGTCCTGCATCACTGACAAGGGGAAACCACGCCGGAAAATCGGGATGAACTTTCTCGGCCAAATGTCGACTTAAAATGTCGGTCAACTAGCTTAGTGTCTGTTCTCAAGCGGAGCTAACAGTAGACAGGCAGCCTAAGTTTAGGTTGCCATAGCACACTTGTAAATTGGAACGACCCGTTACGAGAATATTATATTAAGAATTAAGTAAACCCAGAGAAAAACAAATTAGACCACTTTATGTGACGCCACTTCGAAATGTCAAGACATGGAGACATCCTAGTATAAGTTTTTAATCCAATTTGAAATCATTAGCTGACTGAGACTGTGATGTGAGCTGATGACAGCTCCGTTTAAACGAGAAGCCTACACATTTACTTTAAAGGAACCAAGCCTTCATGATTTAGGCCAGAATAAAGCATTGAAGTAGGTTGCTTTGGTGTGACAAGACAGTATCTATACGGTTATGTTTTGTTTGAAACATTAAGCAAACGTTGGCTTGTTTCCCAATATTACTTTCATTTTTGATTGTAGGAGGCTCATGGTGGCTAAGTGGGTAAGACGCTGGCTCACTAACCTTGAGGTCGGGTGTTCGATGCCTGCATTGGCCGAGAAAGTTTATCCAGATTTTCCAGCATGGTTTCCCCTTGTCAGTGATACAGGACGGAGGGCCTGACAAGGACAGCTGTCTAGTCGTTTGGATAGGACGAAAACGAAAAACCGAGGTCCCGTGTACACATTGGCGTGCACGTAAAAGATCCCTTGACAGTTGGTATTCGATATAGTAGTGCCGCTGTCTGGGCAAAATTTCCCTCATAGCACACTGTATGGCGTGTGCCCGTCTTCATTAGCCCAGCAGAACAGTGGGACGTTAAACCCCATTTCATTTCATTTCATTTATTTTTGACTGTCAACAATGAAACACAATATTATACGTTTTATCTCAACAGTGGCTTTATCGATAGACGTATAGTTTTCAACAAAGACAGATTGTCATCCAACAAATCCAATTAACATATAGAACCAAATGAAGCCAACCATATTATTTTTGATGCAAATGAAAGAGGTCTAATCATTTTATGTCAGCTTAATTTTCAGCAGCCATAATATTTCACCACCCACTACTTGACATTTGTCAAGTTATAATTCAATGTCAATTGCTCTCAGAATTAAACCATGTGCATTACCGTGTTGAAAAATGAATTGAAATGAAATGAAATGGGGTTTAACGTCCTCCTGTTCTGCTCCTAACCTGGGCTAATGAAGACGGGCATACGCCATACAGTGTGCTAAGATGGAAATTTTGCCCGGGAAGCGGCGCTATGGCCTACTCTTATATCGAAATCCAACTGCCAAGGGATCTTTTACGTGCACGCCAATGTGTACACGGGATCTCGGTTTTTCGTCCCACCCGAACGACTAGACAGCTGTCCTTGTCAGGCCCTCCATCCTGCATCACTGACAAGGGGAAACCACGCCGGAAAATCTGGATGAACTTTCTCGGCCAATGCACCGTGTTGAAAAACTAAGCTGTCCGTTCTGACACCTTTGTTTTGCTAAATTACTTTTTAAAACGAAATAAAACGAAATTAAACAAGGCAATCTGATTAAAATACAGATCTGTATTTCGTTTCGTTTTTTTATACTTTCGATTGCCTCCACTACATGAAGATCTGACCGGTTGTAGTGGGGGGTTGAGTCAGGGGTCATTCGAGTGGCTTTTGACCCTATGACATGAGACATTTGATTAACCAATCAGCATTGATATTCTAGTGGGATACCCACAGTTCCGTGCACCGCACGTCAAGAAAACGCAACAGAGTGTTTCATTGGTTAATCCCTGAAATCAACCAGAACGCGGGTTATATAATAACTCTTCCAGATGCTACTGTAGTCAGAAGACAAATCCATCCAAGAAGAAAGAAGAGGAACCGAAAACGAAGATTCATGAAGAACACTTCATTCCTAAATTTAAAACGGAAAGTGGCTTCATGAACTTCATGATCGAGTTCCTCAGGGTGGTCGTGTCCAATGAGGACCAAACTACCAAGATGGCAAGCCTACTGGGCAAAATAAAGACACACATGGTCAACGCCGATGTCCTGTGTGTCATGATTAATTCAATCAACACGGTAAAAAAAAAGATCAAGAGAAGAAGACGAAGAAACCACGAAAGGCGATCAAACGGCAAACCTCGCACTCCGTAGAAGGATATCTCATGTTCGTCACTACAGCACTGGCGATATGCCCAGTTGCTTGCCGGTTTTAATACCAAAGACGAACACTAATGAGGTACCTCCTATGGAATGTGAAACGCCAATTGACCAATAAATAGACAAGACAGAGAGGCATCCATCCGGACAGTCATCATGGCGAGCCAGGTAAAAGTTCTACAACTAAACGTTAATGGACTGGCTCCCAGATGTGCTGAGCTGAGAAAATACATCACCCGCAACCCGAAAGATGTAATATGCCTCCAAGAAACCAAGCTACTAACAACCAAGAACGACATCCAATTGCCCGGATACACTTGTCAGAGAAGGGACAGACCGGGCAGTACGACACGTGGCGGCGGTCTTGCCATCTACGTCAGTGATAACTTAAATTATATTTCTGTTTCGCTTGACGTAGAGGACCCTCTAGAAGCAATGGGCATAGCCATCACATTGAGCAATAATACAAAATTGACAATAGTGAATGTGTATGTACCCCCAGATGTCACGAGAAAACCAGTTGACTTCCAGTCACTTCTCGACCAGCTTCCTCAGGGCGAATTTGTGTTTTGCGGGGATTTCAACGCAAAACACGTCCTGTGGGGGTCATCGAGGAATGACAATCGGGGGATTAGCCTATGCTCAATAATAGAAGAGAACGACCTATGCGTACTGAACGACGAGAGCCCTACTTTTGTTGGAGGAAATGCCCCACCTTCACACCTGGATCTCATGCTCTGTACGCTTGGTATGGCAAACCGCTGCGACTGGCAAGTACACGAAGATGAAACACTTGGCAGCGACCATCTACTGATAGAACTCTGCATCCAATGTGAAACAACCAGGGAAGTCTATAACGGGAAACCCAATTGGAAAATAAAAGAGGCTGATTGGGCTAACTTCCGTGTAGGCTGCCTTGGGTGGAAAGAAGAAGACATCATCGATGCCAACATCGACGTGTACGCAGCCAACATCACGAGTGCTATTATAGGAGCCGCAGACGACTCCATTCCCAAGACTTCTGGAGGGCAATCAAGGATTAGAAAACCTTGGTGGTCACCAGAATGTCAGAAGGCGGTTAACGAAAGAAAGAAGGCACTACGCCTACGGAAACGCCACTACAATGAAGTCAATCACCAAAACTACCTGAAGTTGAAATACGCCGCAAGAGACACCACCCGGAAGGCACAAAGCGAACACTGGATGACATTCTGTAATGCGTTGAATCAAAACACGCAAACAGGTGCCGTCTGGAAGAAGCTGAACGCCATGAACGGGAAGCGCAGATCATTCAACATACCAAACCTAAAGAATGGAGATGAGTACGTTACCAACGGCAATGAAAAGGCAGATCTACTTGCAAAAGCTTTCGCTGACGCAAGCAGGGACGAAAACCAATCACCAGAGTTCCTGAAGAGAAAGGAAATCTTTTACTCACAGCACCCTTCATTAGAAATTGAACCTAATGAAGGGGCTAAACCAATCAATCTACCCTTCTCTGAGGAGGAGTTAAATAAGGCTCTTTCCCTCAAGAAGGATAGTGCGGCTGATGAGGACAAAGTAAAGTACTCGATGCTCAAACATCTGCCTAGAAATGCCAAAAGAATACTACTAAACTTCTTCAACACATCCTGCCTGGCAGGAGAGGTACCCAAAGAATGGCGGAAAGCCAACGTCATCCCTCTTCCAAAACCAGGTAAAGAGAGAACAAGGGCAGAGTCCTATCGACCAGTAAGCTTGACATCCACACTGTGCAAAACCTTGGAAACAATGGTTAACATACGACTACAGTTCTATCTGGAGAGCAACCGACTGATCGACGAAAATCAAAGCGGGTTCAGGAAAGGGCGTTCAACAACGGACCACTTGGTGAGACTACAGCAAGTCATGTCGCAGGCACTCCTCTCTGGGAACCTGTTATGTGTCGTGTTCGTAGATTTAACTAAGGCTTTCGATTTAGTCTGGCTAGACGGTATGCTCTTCAAGTTAGGACGTATTGGTATAACGGGCAAAATGTTTCGGTGGATCAAAAGATACAGGTGAATGTAGGCAGATTCCTGAGTGCCGGGCAAACATTAGAAAATGGCACGCCTCAGGGGTCGGTTATCAGTCCCACTCTCTTCAATATCATGATCAACGACATACAGAAATCTTCCTACCTCGACGCCAAAACTGAGTTAGCTAAATTTGCTGATGACAGTACCATATGGAGGAAAGGGAGGAACTTCTGTGAACTACAAAAGAACATGCAGAAGGCCTTAGACAAATTCATGGCATGGGCAAACGATTGGGGATTCAAAGTCTCGGAGAAGAAAACAGTCGGCATGCTTGTAAGCAGGGATAGAGGGATAAACAGAATGACTCTGTGTATGAACGGGAAAACCATCGAGTTTAAAGACCAAACCAAGTTCCTTGGTGTAATCTTTGACCGAAGGCTGACCTGGAAACCGCACATCGACGAGACTGTAGATAGATGCACCAAAATCCTAAACTTAATGAGGAAAATAACGGGCAGCACATGGGGTGCCAATAGAGTTACATTAATGATGGTGTATCGTGCTCTAATACGCTCTGTATTAGACTAAGGCTCTTTGGCCTTCATGAACTGTGCGCCAAAACTCTTAAGTAAGCTTGACACCATCCAAATACAAAGCTCTGTGTATTGCGACCGGCGTAGGGCTTGGGACTAGGAGAGGGGCATTACTACAGGAAGCCGGGGAGTTGCCCCTATCCCTAAGAAGAAAAGAACTAGCGACAAGGTATTGGGCCAAGATCTCGCAACTGGGCGAAAGATCCCCTACTTTTGTCAGTCTACAAAAGACAAGATATGTAAGAGATCCTAGAAAGAAAAGCTTCGGCCAGGGTATCAGGGAAACAATCAAGGAACTGCAACTGGGAGCTCGTGATAAATGATCACGACCCCCCAGCGATCGCCCCTTGGACGCTCCCTATACCGCCGGTTAATCTAGATCTACTACAGAAAATTGACAAGAAAAACAACACCACTGCTGCACGTGCTTTCTCTCTAGAACACCTGGAAGACAACTGGCCGTCTAATGAGTGGGACCATGTGTACACGGATGGCTCACGCAATCCTGAAAGGGGCACCAGCTCGTTTGGAATATACCTGCCAAACGGGAAACAGGGAATAAGCAAGAAACTGCCCAATAACTGTTCGGTGTACACTGCAGAGCTTGTGGCCATTCGTGACGCTATATCATGGATTTCCCATCAAAAGACTTGTAAGTTCGTCATTCCAAGCGACTCTCTGAGCAGTCTGATTTCAATCCAAAATGACAACTCGGACTCAAGACCAGAAGTCATTTTGGAAATCAGGCAGCTGTACCAGAGGGTTATAGAGAAGGGAAGCAAAGTAGAACTCGTGTGGATTCCATCACATGTCAACATAAGAGGAAACGAAGAGGCAGATCGACTCGCCAATGAAGGTCTCAAGGACACAGCACCACTCCGCACCATTGACTACAGCACCACGGAAATCTACAGTATGGTCAAAAGACAGGTCAATTCAATCTGGGAATTAAATCTCGTTGAACTTGACACATACAGATTCCGGCTGGATGACAAGATCTACACAAAGACAACACTCAATCACCCTAGAAGAGATATTTGTAGACTTATATCGAAGCTAAGGGTGAAAGAGCGGCTGCGAGACTACAAACACCAAGTCATCATCTGTGAGTGCGGAGAAGAATGTACCACCAACCATGTCCTGGTAGACTGCGAGGTATACGAGGAGGAGAGAGGGGAACTAGTGAGAACAATGGAGACCAACAACATACCATTCAACACTAAGAACCTACTCTTCCCGAGACCAGATCTGAAACTGCAAATCTTCGAACAAATCCACGCCCTAATGGACACAGTTGGACTAAGTAGAATAGTGAAGTAAGAGGGGGTCACGGTTAGACGGGCCCGGCATCTAAACACTAAACTACATAGGGGATTTATACCAAACTGGCAGTATAGTGGAGTAAGGGGGAGTCACGATCAGACGGACTCGGCATCTAAACACTATTCCACCAAAAACAGACACCAAACCTACAGAATGGGATAGTGGAGTAAGGGGAGGTCATGATAAGACGGGCCTGGCACCTAAACACAAACCCCACAAAGATGACATCTACCAAACTAGCAGGATAGTGGAGTAAGGGGGAGTTACGGTCAGACGAACTCGGCACCTAAACACTATTCCGCAAATAAAACTGATACCAAACCCAGAGAGTGGGATAGTGGAGTAAGGGGAGGCCACGATAAGACGGGCCTCCACCTAAACACTAAAACGATGACATCTACCAATCCAGAAGCAGACGTAATCATCTACCAAACGATATGTTTTATATTAAATAAAGGGAAGAACTTCCCACTAAACCAAATCCATGGCCTAAGGCCAAATGGAAAGATTGCAAAATCATATTCTAAAAAACAGGAATCAGCTTCGGCTCTCCTATGTCTTGTCTGCGATATCACTTATGTGGAAGCAGACGTTAAACACCAAGAACGAACGAACGCTACTGTAGTAAAGACAAGTAAAACGAAATTTTGAACTATAAAAAGCGAAACGAAATAGGATCAGATTGTGAAACAAAATTTAACGTCCAACTTTTTTGCACCGACTGGGTAAACAAAGATGTGCTATGAGGGAAATTTTATTTTACGTGCTGTCAATGTGTACGCGTGGTCTAGGTTTTCCGTTCCGTCCGAACGATCGACTAGACACTTACTGTCCCTTGTCAGACCCTCCGTCCTGCACCACTGACAAGGGGGAAAAACGGCGGAAGATCCCAAGTAGCGTCTTACTGACTGAGTCACCAGGGATCCACTTTTTAAAACGTATGTGGCAAAACATGGTATAGGATGTATTCCCCGGTTGTACGTGACAAGGAGTAGGGTCGCCTGTCTAACCTCGTGGGGTTTTTCCGGTTTCCTCCCACTGCTAAAGACCCCTATGCGCACGCGAATTATTGAAATACAGTCGAACCATATGTTAGTCCCGAAATGACCTAGTTTGTGTCGCGTGGACGTTTAAACCGCATTTCTCTTTCTCTTTCTATATGAATGCATTTCGTAGTGTTATGGTTGTCTAGGGAACGAAGATCAAAACGATGATCTCCCTTGGCCAGGTTATCCTCTGAAGCAATCATCCGAAATTAATTTTTATTTCTCGCGAAAGTAGAATATATGAACCTTACTAAAATGAGATTTAACGCGTTACTTTTATAAACCAACCGGGATTATAAAGACGTCACGTTGTGCAGTATGAGGACAGTTTTGCCCTGGTAGCGGCGCTATCAGCTTCTCTTCGATGTTCAATTGCTATGCCTCCTTTAACGTGATGTCAGGTGGCATACCCTTCTTTGAATTCCAACTGACAAGGGTTCAAGTAAATGCATTCAAGCGTGTACACGGCATGCCAACCCTTTTTTGTTCCATCCGAACGACTACACAACGCGTACCCTTGTCCTGCCCTTTTCGTTGTGGTTTAGTGAGATAGCGCCATACTTACGACCCCCCCCCCCCCTCCCGGATCCCCACTATAACCTATTATAGGCATCTATATTAGTCTGGAAACTAAATGTTGGGTAATTGTGGTTGGTATATTGATTCATTTCATTCAAACTTGCAGAAAATAAATCATTGGAAAATGCTGCTCCCAGTGGTTCTCATGCATAACAGCATTCCAAGGAGCACACGTGGGTGGACCTCGTGTTGAAATCCAGAGGAACTTTCTCTGCCAACGCCCGTCTTCATTATCCCAGTCGGAGCAGAACAGTAGGACGTTAAACCCCATTTCATTCCATTTCTCTGCCAACACCCAGATCGTGCCGGTTAGTGAATGAGTGCCTGTTAGTCACAATGATGATATAGATGTTTTTATTATTGTTTTTTCAGGGTGACCTGTGTAGTATGTCTAAAGAAACATTTTACGAAGGTAAGTTGTAAAGAATATGTAATTCGGCCTGTATGGGTGTGTCTTTAATACATATGAAAGATAAATAAGCTAACATCTTTTTGAATTGTCTGTATGTTTGTGTTTTCCTGAGTATGATGTCCTGTCCGTGTATTTGTTTTTGTGTAAATTTTGTGTGGTGCAGTCCCCCTGCACTTACTATTAGGGGGTTGGATGGGCGAATGGTTAGTGCGTGGGCGCTGTATCATACGGTCTGTCATTGAGTCACCTGGCGGAGTTTCGATTCCCCGGTTGTACGTGACAAGGAGTAGGGTCGCCTGTCCAACCTCGTGGGTTTTCTCCGGGTTCTCCGGTTTCCTCCAACTGATAAAGACCCTACGCGCAAGCGAATTATTGAAATAAAAATAAACCATATGTTAGTCCCGAAATGACCTAGACACAAACTAGGTCAGTTCGGGAGTAACGCATGGTTCAATTTTATTTCTATTATTCGTCTGCGCGTAGGGGTCTTTAGCAGTGGAAGGAAACCCGGAGAAAACCTACGAGGTTGGACAGGCGACCCTACTCCTTGTCACGTACAACCGGGGATTCGAAACCACGCGTAGGGGTCTTTAGCAGTGGAAGGAAACCCGGAGAAAACCTACGAGGTTGGACAGGCGACCCTACTCCTTGTCACGTACAACCGGGGATTCGAAACCACGCCAGTGCACCACTCACGAGGGGAACAACTTCCAGGTTAGCGAGCCAACGTCTTTTTCCCTCAGCCACCAGTTTGAGAATTATCCTTAGATATGAATAATAATTATTTATTTTATATTTCAGTTAATCCAGCGATGAGAGTATAATATCCACAGACCAGTTTTCTTCTCTTATTCCACTTTTATTATTTTTTACAATTTTTTTTTTTCGTAATAAAATTTGTTTTTAAAATATAAACGATGAAGCGATTTCAATCCGTCAAGGAAATGCAAATGAAATGAAATGGGGTTTAACGTCCTGCTGTTCTGCTTCGAGCTGGGCTAATGAAGACGGGCATGCGCCATACAGTGTGCTGTGAGGGAAATTATATCGATTTCCAACTGTCAAGGGATCTTTTACGTGCACGCCAATGTGTACACGGGACCTCGGTTTTTCGTCCCATCCGAACGACTAGACAGGTGTCCTTGTCATGCCCTCTGTCCTGCATCACTGACAAGCGGGAACCACGCCGGAAAATCTGGATGAACTAACTCGGCCAATGCAGGGATCGAACCCCAGGAAATGCAAAACCGGGCCCTAATTACCTGAGATGTTTAATATAGGTTATGTCCAAAATGATATTACGTCATAAAGATTTTACCAATGACGTATTTCATTCCCAGGGCGTTATTTCATTGATCAGAAACACATAATTACTGTTCTGCACCAACCGGGACAATCTCATGAAAACAAAGGGGGGGAGGATGGCCGAATGGTTAGCACGTGCGCGCTGCGCTGTATCATACGGTCTGTCATTGAGTCAACTGGCGGGGTTTCGAATCCCCGGTTGTACGTCGCCTGTCCAACCTCGTGGGTTTTCTCAGGGTCCTCCGTTTTCCTCCCACTGCTAAAGACCCCTACGCGCAAGCGAATTATTGAAATAAAATTGAAACTTGTGTTAGTCCCCAAATGACCTAGTTTGTGTCGAGTGGACGTTAAACCCCATCTCTCTCTCTCATGAAAATAGGAATACACGACGCAATGTCAACAAGAGCAATTTTGCTTGGACGGCGGCGTTTCCACATATTCTTCAGCGATATTGTCACTGTATCGTTGGGTATGTTTCATCTTGGGGGGTTATTAATTAGCGGTACCTTCCTCAGAGGTGCGTAAAATGAAATGGGATTTAGCGCCCTGCTTGTTTTCCTGGATCGAAATGAAATGAAATAGAGTTTAATGTCCTGATTTTCTGTGTCGACTGGGCTAATGAAGACGTAGTGGTGTGCAACCGCGTGATTACAGAAATTTAACGTCGATGTCCTTTCTGAATTCTTTTTGTTCGGTTGGAACATTCGCTGCCAATTTATTTTACATACAAAATATTCGTCATATCGAAATATCCCCTGCGAGAAGATACATTCTAATACACAATGTGTGTGTCTATTGGACTTAATTACATTATGATAATATTTGTATCGAAGACCGGAATATAATATAAACTGAAATGGAGTTCAACCGTGTACCATTTAGGGGATTTTCTCCGGACATGGTGTTTCGGATCACTTCATCGAATTCGAGCGGCATGGGATTCTTTTACGTGCTGGCGAATGAGGACACGGGTGAGCATTAGTTCTCCGGTCCGTCTGAAAGACTAGCCGTATTCTCCTGACCAGGCCCCTCCTCCCTGCACCACTGACAACTGGGATTAAGACTTTACAATCCCGTCCGTCTTCTCGTCCTAGTCGAGAGTCCAGATCCCTGTCGATTGTTATCGATCGACAACAACAGTAAGCTGTCAACAAAATTTAACATATCCCGAAAGCATTGAACGGAGCCGAAAACTAATAAGCCCAACAGTTATACCAATAAAATTATACCATTGCCCACGAAGCCCGCATTAATAACCAGTTATATCAAATTCCTTCACGAACTCCTTCCTATATGCAACGTTTCCACAATTTTTAAATGAGTTTGGAGTACTGCTAATCGGTACCTATGGGGCTAATGCACACGGGAATAGCTAACAAACATTTTCAGATTAATAAAGACGGACATACGCAGGGGCGTGTTCAGGAATTGATCAGGGGTGGGTCCGGGTTGGAGACACTGTCAAATTTGGCGTAAGGTCTGGGGGATTAAGCGATAATTTTATAAAATCAGATGCTCTGAGGTAATATTTCTGCTAATTTATTAAGTGTAAACATTTGAGTGAAATCGAAAGGATGCAATGCTTCACACGTTTGTTTGTTCCACTTATTTCAATGAACGTAGGCAAAGAGTATTATGCTCTGCGGGTCTGATACGCCTTCCAGTGTTCTATGGGGGGGAGTTTTGCCGTCTCCACCTTCTCTTAATTGTCAAAATGGTTGATCCGCCTGGCTGAGTTTGTGTCAAAATCATGATTAAAATCTCAAAACAAGATCAACAATTTTTAGTTTTTTAATTGTCATGGGCGTCTTCTTGCAAACCATATTATTTTGTTTTCCCTGGTTCGTTTATCTTGGTTTCAATATCAATGTATAACCAATGTAAAATACACTAATAACATCTACTCCAAAATAATATTCTTTAATTAATAAAATTTATATGATTATACAAATGATATACACTCTGATCCTCTCAAATATTAATATATTTTTTACAATACACCAGGTAGTGTGATTTTCTAATTTATATAAAATATTTATAGGACAGGAAGCATGAAATGAATTGTTTAAAGTCACTGATCATCTTTTGAGTGATTGTTAATCCATTGTAATCTACAATATTGTCAAAGTTGAATCTCTAAAAGGAATATAGGTCCAAAAATGGTTCAATTACATTCAGTATTTACAAAGATATGATGAACTGTCCACGACACAAACCAGGTCATTTTGGGACTAACATATGGTTCAATTTTATTTCAATAATTAGCTTGCGCCTAGGGGTCTTTAGCAATGGGAGGAAACTGCAGGATGCAGAGAACAGGTGACCCAACTCCTTGTCACATACAACCAGCGAATCGAAACCACCCCAGTTGACTCAATGACAGACATTATGATACAACATGCACACACAAACCATTCGGCCATCCAGGTAGTATTTTGCTCTCCAAATGTTAAATAATCAATTTAAGTACATTTTAAGCCATGAATTTATGAGATATTGTCCAAAAAATGCAAATGGTGATCAGCAACTTTAAGATAATCTTGAATTTAATTATTTAAAGTATCCCATACTTTATTATGTCTATAAATATCAAATGCTGTAGATTGATCAGCTGTATTTAACTTTACATCTGATAAACTAATGCCTACTAAATGTAAATCTGGAATCTCTCTCTGTCGGTCCTCGGAATAAAATTCTAATATATCTGGAACCTAACAAAAGAACAAATCAACAAATTAGATTGCCAATAATTACAATAAAATCTCACACATTATTCAAACAATTTGGTCTACAAGTCTAGGAATAAAGGAAACTGTCACAAACATTGTCGGGCACGAATTCAGGCTTTGACAAGTACAATCCTTGTGGTACTTGTTGTCATCAGGTCAGATATAGATTCTTTTTTCAGTGTTTTATTGATAACTTTACCACCTGTCCAACCAAGCACAAAATTCAAAATGTCAGGTACTGTTCAACCAAAGTTATTATTTCCACACCTGATTCTGGAATAGCTCATTATATTATTTGCAATTTGATGAAAATCAGATGATTTTAAGATGTTGATTTTATCTGAGAACCAATTCACAAAGACAAGGTCTAAAGATTTATATCGTTTGTGATGGTGGTGGGGATGGGGGGTCTGTGTAGGTGGCAAGAAATTGTGTGGAATGTCGATTTGTAGTAATTTGTACTAGCATGTATCTGTTTGAAACTGGTTGAGCAATATGATTATGGAGAAATGAAAATCAGAATGCATCTGCTTCTCTTAAATGAAATGAAATGGAGTTTAACGTCCTACTGTTTTGCTCCGAACTGGGCTAATGAAGACGGGCATACGCCATACAGTGTGCTATGAGGGAAGTTTTGCCCGGACAGCGGCACTACGACCTACTCTTACATCAAATTCCAATTGTCAAGGGATCTTTTACGTACATGCCAATGTGTACACGGGACCTTGGTTTTTCATCTCATCTGAATGACTAGACAGCTGTCCTTGTCAGGCCCTCCGTCCTGCATCACTAACAAGGGGGAACCACGTCGGAAAATCTGGATAACTTTCTCGACCAATACAGTGATCGAACACCTGACCTCCAGGTTGGAGAGCCAGCGTCTTACCCACTTAGCCACCGTGATACCCCCTGCTAGTCTCTACTTTGGAATAAATGAAATGGAGTATAACATCCTACTTTTCTGCACTGACCAGTCTAATGAAGATAGGAACACTGGAATAAGTTAGTCATATTTACCTTTGGTTCAGATTTAGTACCACTAATACCATATTGCTTTTTTAACCTACTCTTGTTGGTTTTGTGAGATTTTGATCTTGATTTCAGAGTTGCCTCCCTTTCTACCTCTAAACACAAGTTGTTAATTTCTGGTTCGACTCCAACCAACCCAGAAAACAAATCTTTCGAACAGTTTACTTTTACAGAAGCCTGAAATTAAATAAGAGTTTCTGAAAATCTGTTTTGCTGGGGGTGGGGTGGACTATAACATTGACAGGTAAAAAATGGAAGTTTAAATTCATGGAAATATTTAAGAAAATAAAAGAATACAGTCACATATGGGATTCATTCAATTGGGTTTCTTTCCTTGTTGGATAGGGACACAATCTGATTAAAATCTTGTTGTTTTAAATTTTAAAGGACAATATTGCTGTCAGTCATTATTACATATGTGATAGAACTGGTTAAATACATTCCAAATATAATTTCAACACAGAGATCATTGCTATGGGAGATGTGTAACAAGCATGTGAAGAAACAGGAAGTGACGACAAACATGACAAACACGACTTATCCTTCTATATAACTGACTGAAGTAACGAGCGATAACAGACAAACGATTGAATTTCATTTCACTGATAATTCCGTTGAAGATGAAAAGTTATTATATTTTATAATGAATGACACCAATATTGTCCTTTAACAAGGCATGCATGTAGGAATTATTCAATCTGATTAAAATACAGATCTATATTTCGTTTCGTTTTTTATACTTTCGCTGGCCTCTACTACATGAAGATCTGACGGGATGTAGTGGAAGGTCGCATCGAAGATCATAGGAGTGTTTTTTACCCTATGACCTCAGACATTTGATTAATCAATCAGCGTTAATGTTTCTAGTAGGTTACCCACAGTTCCGGGCAACTCATGCCAAAAACTCGCTAATCCCTCACATCATTCAGAACATGGATTATATAACACCTCTTCCAGATCCTAGTGAAGTAAAGACAGGTGAAACAAAATTATGAACTATAAAAAACAAAATGAAATAGGATCTGTGTTTTAATCAGATTGAGGAATTATTTGAATTCATTCACCATACAACAATGGTTTTCTAATTTCTAAGAACAGAATAAAAAAGAAACCTTTTCATTAATATCTGTTCTGGTTTCTTCAGACTGTTTCAGTTTCTGTTTTAGGGTTTGAGCAACTTTTGGCTTAGAGGATTTCAAATCTTTCAGTTCTTCACTGATTTTTAGTGTACTATTATATTCTGGTCTAGCAAACACATGTTCAGGTTCATAGGTCACAGTATGATCAACAAAAGGGAACTGATAATCAGTGGGGTCAGGTCTATTTTCGTATTCACGTGTAACAATAACATGTTTCACTGCATGACATTTTCTAGCATGAGCTGGCACTGAATCTACGATTCTTGGAGGTTCTGGTTTTATTTGTTCCGACTCTTTGATGGTAAGGAATCTGAGCGCGGTTTCTGTATAACTTTGTTCTAAAGACATTGGTCTGGAATGACCATCACTATTAGTATCGTCATCGGTCTCTGTGACGTCCAAATCAGTATCACTAACAACAGACTGCTCGGTTTTACTAGCGTACATTTTAGGACAGTATTCTTTCATGGGAGTAGATTTGGATGGAGAATTAACCATTAAATTAACACTTGGTTCATATTCGACAGGTGATTTAGCAGATATTTCTAGGATACTGCCATTTTCTACACTATCATCAATATCAAAACGCACTTTTTGTTTTAATTTGGGTTTTGTTAGAGGTTTAGAGATGATGGAAACAGTTGGAGACATGGCTCTGTCTGATGATGTAATGAAATTTTTTGTGGCACGATCTGGCGTTAAATTAAGGTTAGTGTCAGGGATCGCAGATTTCAAGATCTCTTCTTTCCAAGATGGAACAGGGGGTTTAGTGGGTTGAGTGTCGAACTCATAACTAGTAGTCGTAGATGGTTGAGTATAATCTGTAAATCTATGTGTTCTTGAAAAGTCTGATCTATTTGTACTGTAAATACTTTGACTAGAGATTATACCATCAGCCATTTTCACCATTTCAGCTTTTTTTATTCCATCGAGTGACAAAATATTATCTGAAATCACAAGAATATACAATTCAAAAAAAGTGTGTCACCTATATATATAGTCTAACTCAAGAATTTGTAAACATTTTAGATCTATAATGGATCATGAGACCTGAAAGATTATGATTAAATTACCACTTTAAGTCTGTTTGTACTTTGCTTGAGTGGGGATTATTCAATGATTCATTATATAAATAAATAAAATGTGGCCATGAAAACATAGTTTTAGGTGAGCTTTTGTACAGTGCATACATAGTAACATAGGCTACATGAAACTCATACATAAACTGTTTTAAATAAAATGATGAACCCAGATGGCTTGATTTTTCAAAAAGTATATATATATATATAAACTCAAGTTTAATATAACCTTGTGAAACAATACTTTCAACCAATAATCAACATTTCATGTTGTGGAAACAGTAACACTAATACTGTTGTCACAGCCTGGTTCCCAACGATTTTAGTGATACCGGTAGTCAAACAGTTCTGTACCTTTCCCTCAAACTCAAGGATAATCATTTACAGTGGGTTATTTATGCCACCACTTGCTGTATCTATTAGTATTTGCCTATTTAAGTTTGATATTCATATAAGCCTTCACCGAAAAAAAAACAAATATGCGTTGGATCGTAAAAGTAACATTCAAATTATGAATGATTCAACAATGAATTGAACGTGTTAAAACATGCGTCGAGTGTCCTATCAATCCGTAAAATTAAACAAAAATATGTGGCTAATGGCATATTTGGCTTTTATATAAACGTTATATTCATAAAGTGTTGTAAAACAACTTGGCTTTATTCCATATCGATTACCTAACTCATCTGCTAGCATTTATAAAACAGATAACCTGCAAACCGACATTCTCAGTTTGTTTAGTCCGCCATTGAAGCAACACACCGGAAGAGCGTACAGCGCAGGAGCAAGGTTGAAAACAAGTATGGCTGCCTCGAAATCTTTTATGAAACTTTCGTCTGCAAAGACAGCGTTTTTGCAGTTATGTCAGGTAATTATAAGAATAATTGTCGCGTAGAAATTATAAAATCGAATCAGCATTTTAGTTGTTTTGATTCTGAAAATAATTATACTGATAGATATATGGATAACAATGTTATTTGGGAAATAAATATAACCTTGTTAGGGACGTTATGCAACGACCATGACCTTCCTGCTAGTGCTACGTGCTTATCTAATTTTTGTGTTTATGTAATATCTGTAAATGCATGTTGTATAATTATCAATAAATCGATTACTGATTCTCATTTAGTTTCTTTAGTAACAAAGTCTTAGAGACCCCCTAGTGCTCTCTCTTCGTTACTGGCGCGTCCTAATGAAAACTATTAAGGCTTTTCCGCCATCTGGGTTCTAATCTAAGAATCTGATTCTAAGGCTATTTTGGAATCCTAACGGTCTATTTTTCATGGTAATTCTTCTTTGATTGCCAATGGGAATAATTTCTTTCCACATCAGTCACAAATTTATAATAATCCGACTCTATTTTCATGTAGAATTGTGCGCTACAAAAACATAAACAACATTCATTTGAATCTGCCGGCCATTATCAAACTGACGCCTGCGCTGACCGGTTCATAGCTGCGCTCAGCCAATATTCAAAATTTAGGAATGGAATTTTACCATTTATTATTAGGAAGGACCTTGTAGCTGAACTTCACGCTAGAAATTTTGGCTGCAGGCCTATTTGTAATGAAATTACATACGTACCGTTATGTAAATTGAACTGTCGATCTTCTTTATATACAAGTGTTCAACTGGTTCTTTTTTCAGCACAGAACTGCTCAAACAGCTGCTGCAGCTGCACCCAATGTTCAACCAAGACTCAAAAAATTTCAAATCTATAGATGGGTAAGACAAACTAGCCAAAACATTCTATGCATTGTACTAGTAATATGTAGCCTATTTAGTATTACATAAAACAATAAGCTTATTTCATTCGTATGGCTAGTTCAGTTTAAAGCAATGTTAATTGTGAAACTAAATTAAATGTGTTTTTCCCTTCATCAATTCATTTTCCGTATATATGAAGCCAGAGTTTCTGAATATGGCCAGACGTTAATAAATATTAAATTAATTTAGTGGCATTTAGTAATAAAGTGGGAATTCACAGGACACAGTTTCATGGAATAAGCTTACAGTTAGTGGAGTGACGTTTTGACTTGGATTCTGTAATCCCACTCGAAACCTCATCCAGTAATGAAGATTAAATATATGCCATAGATTTGTTTTTCATCGTATTTAATCAGTAGTGTTCATTAATCTTAAATAACGCTAATAAATATTTATCGGGTTACACCGTTACAGGAACCTTGTACATGGTAATCAGTTTGATTTTTGTTTCTACTACTATAGGACCCAGAAACTAAAGGTGCAAAACCAACCATGGAAACATACGAAATAGACCTGAATCAGTAAGTAAACAATATTTACATTATGATGATATTATTTATATAAAACTGAAATGGGTGTTTAACATCCATTTTTTCTACACTAACTGAGCTAATGAAGAGGGACGAAGTGTGCATTTCTGCCTATTTGAACTGTACATAGAATAGAACCTTGTTTTTTTTGTCTCATCTGAATGACTAGATAGATGCTGTAAGTCTGTTGCTTGCCAGTCCCACAAACAAGGGAAAAACAGGCTAAAAAATCTAGAGGAACTTTCTCGGCCAACACCAAAATCGAACCAGAGTTAGTGAGCCAGGACTTTACTCACTGAGCCCATGTGGCTCCTTAGTCCCTTTCTTATTTACCTAAACTAGTGACAATAATTGCACATAGATGTAGGTCTAGCTTCTATAATTGTAACATTGTTTACATGGTTGCATACATTGCATTCAAATTCTAGCAACTGGGGGTTGGGTAGCTGAATGGTTAATGCCTGCACATTAGATCACAAGGTCTGTCATTGAGTCATGTGACATGGTTTTGATTCCCCACTTGTACGTGACAAGGAATGGCATCTCAAGGTCCTCTGATTTCCTCCCACACAAAGATCCCTACATGCAAGCAAATTATTGAAATAAAATTGAACCATATGTTAGTCCCAAAATGACCTACTTGACTGAAAATGCTTGAACAGACTTGAAAATAATATAAATGCAGAAACAATTTTGACAATATTCCAGCTATCTTTGAATTGTGGCGAAGTATGCCAAATAATCTGCAATTGTCCAAAGAACAAACATGCCATGTTTTATGTTGATTATGCTTGAATTGGCGGAGCCTTTGTCTTTTTAGGGCTGAAAACTGTTGCCCTAAGAAGAAGAGAATTTGTTTATAAAATCTATTGTAATTGATATTTCTCAATTTGTTTTCCAGTTGTGGGCCAATGGTTTTAGATGCTCTCATTAAAATCAAAACTGACTTGGACCCTAGTCTCACATTTCGAAGATCTTGTCGTGAGGGTATATGTGGATCATGCTCTATGAATATCAATGGTACAAACACACTGGCATGTATAAAGTACGTAATATTTATTTTCATTGAAATCCAGTATATGAAATGTGGAAATTTATTTTGGGAGCTTTTTTGGCTTGAATTGGATCATATTAGATAAATGAAGTAGTAGGATGGAGATATTGAATGATAAAAGCATTTTAATATTTATGCTCGAAAGGAGACCAATGTAATGTTACTAATTATCAAGAAATACTATCTGCTTGGGTTTATTTTATATTGGGGATCTTAATCATCTCAGCTGTTTGATGTTAGAAAACACTGATTGATGAAAATGAACCAAAATGAAATGAAATGGGATTTAATGTCCTACTGTTCTGCTCCTATAAATTGGGCCAATGAGGCAAATTTTTCCCAGGCAGCGTCACTTTGGTCTGCTGTTATATCGAATTCTAACGGCCAAGGGATCTTTTACGTGCTCGCCAATGTCCCATCCAAATGACTAGACAGCTGTCCTTATCAGGCCCTCCGTCCTGCACCACTGCTAAGGGGAAACCACGTCAGAAAAGAAAAGTGAACCAGCCTGTATATCAGCATGAATCAATCTATATTCGACTGTGTTGAATGCAGCCTAATTCAGTTAGTGATTATGATTTTAGCAGTAATTTTGATAATCCTGTAAATATACAAGCTTGCTGATTATTCATCATATCACATAAGAGTATGGGGGGTTGGATGGCTGATTGGTTAGCGTGCGCGCGCTGTATCATAAAGTCTGTCATTGAGTCGACTGGCGTGGTTTCGAATCCCCGGTTGTACGTAGCAAGGAGTAGGGTCGCCTGTCCAACCTTGTGGGTTTTCTCCAGGTGCTCCGGTTTCCTCCCACTGCTAAAGACCCCTACGCGCAAGCGAATTATGTAAATAAAATTAAACCATATGTTAGTCCCGAAATGACCTAGTTTGTGTCGAGTGGACGTTAAACCCCATTTCTCTCTCTCTCAGATAAGAGTATTGATTTAGTCTTGAAGTAAAATATAAAAGTTATTGATTTTGGATAGCTGAAAATTTGATGTGTATAAAAATTTTCTTTACCATCCATAGATTTATATTAGAATTTTATTAATATGCATGAATTTGTTTTATTTCAGTAAAATTGATACTAACTTGAACAAAGGAACTAAAGTCTATCCTCTACCACACATGTATGTTGTTAAAGATCTGGTGCCAGTGAGTATTTTGATTGTTAGTCTGGAATCTTCCAAATTGACAGAATTGTAAATGAATGACACCTAATTCAGTTGGCGAATGCTTACAAGTGCACTACAGGTTTACTAGTCTGCAGGTTAATGTTATTGTGGTGGTTTAACAGAATTGTCCTTAAATGACGCAGAATTCCGTTTATCACTGTTCAGTTGACAAATGCACAGTATTCCACAGGTTTACATGTCTACGGGTTGTGGTTATTGTTGTCGTTCAGCTGTCTTTTATCCTTGACAAAACACCCAAGTCCTTCTGGTACTTTTGATACCCATATTATAATTTTAATAAATATTTTTTTAAGCAAAATTTGATTGTTCATTCAATTGTCACTATTCATGGTATTAAGAGAATTTAATTCTAGATTCTTCTATTAAATATCCCCTATGTTAGTGGGGGGTTGGATGGCTGAATGGTTAGCACGTGCGCGCTGTATCATAAAGTCTGTCATTGAGTCAACAGGTGTGGTTTCGATTCCCCAGTTGTACGTGACAAAGCTCCCACTGCTAAAGACCCCTATGCGCAAGCCAATTATTGAAATAAAATTAAACCATATGTTAGTCCCGAATGACCTAGTTTGTGTCGAGTGGACGGTAAACCCTATTTCTCTCTCTCTCTCTCTATGTTAGCGTATAGTGAGAATATTTAATTCTAGATTGTTCAATCAAGTATCTTCCCGTAATCTTGAACTATAAGTAGATTACCTCCCTTGTTTAGAGTATAGACTTTGTTTCTGAAGAACTGATAAGACCTATTCAACGTTTAATATCAGGATAGCAAAAATAATCTATTAACTTTATTTGCAGTTAAAACTGGAATAAAGCACATTTCTGAATATTTTAGACTAAAAAATGCATATTACTTTGATAAATTCCAAATATTGTAATTTCAAACATGCATATTACTTTGATAAATTCCAAATATTGTAATTTCAAACATGTTTAGGTATTTCAGTTCAGTGAGTAAAAAAATTGTAATACATTTTTGCGCTGCTATGCTCAGCCTATTCCATATATTAAGGAACCCAATTCATTTTGTACTTGTTTGGGAAACACCTAAAAGTCCTTTGAATGGCTTGACTTAATATCTCTTGATTCTTTAAAGACCATGTCACTAAACATCAGAGACTATAGACCCGGTCAACATGTCATAATATATAGATATTAAAGGCTATGAAAATTATGAAAACCGTTCTTGAGAAATGTGTCGATTGGCGTTATTTAAAAGAGAATTCCCACATCTTGGTGACTTTGAATTGTTGAAGAACTAAAGTTATCAAACTAATGTTTGTGTAATTTATAGGTATATGTATTTGTTTTTAACAGGATATGAGTAATTTCTATGCTCAATATAGATCCATTGAACCATTTTTGAAGAAAAAGAATACAACTGAAGCTGATGTTGGACAAACACAATATTTACAGTCTACTGAAGATCGGGCGAAACTGGTGAGTAAATAGATTTCACATTATATTAAAGGACACTATTAGTGCCAGTCATTATCACATATGTGATAGAGCTGGTTAAACACATTCCAAATATAATTTTAATACAGAGATCATTGCTACGATAGCTGAGTAATACAGGTTTCCTGAATCGGAAGTGATGATTGCCAAAGGAAAACACGAATCATGCCTCTATATAACTGACTGATGTGACGAGTGATAACAGATACACAGCCGAATTTCTGCTCACTAATAATTCCTTCGAAGACCAAAAGTTGTTATACCGGACTGTAAGAGGATACCTGACAATTCAATATAAAGTAATTGAATGTCATTAGATAAGAGAACACAAGAAAAATAGAAATAGTCCGTACATTCCCTTGTTTATATTCATTCGATACCTTATAAAAACATGGTAATGGACAGACATTTCTTGTTTTTCTTTTCGTGTTCTCTTATCTAGTGGCAGTCAATTCTTTTTATGAATTGTCAGATATCCTCTCACAGTCTCACACAACAACTTTTGGTCATGGAAGGAATTATTAGTGAGCAGAAATTCACCCATGTATCTGTTATCACTCGTCACATTAGTCAGTTATATAGAGGGATGCCTCGTGTTTTCCTTTGGCGTTCGTCACTTCCGATTCAGGAAACCTGTATTACTCAGCTATCGTAGCAATGATCTCTGTGATAAAATTATATTTGGAACCTGTTTAATTAGTTCTATCACATATGTGATAATGACTGACACCAATATTGTCCTTTAAATACTTCATATTGTGGTAGTTTCTAGATCAATGTTTGAAAAAGATTTCAGAACATATTCCCCTTTAACCATGGGGGGGGGGGGGGCCGAATGGTTAGCGTGTGCACGCTGCGTCATAAGGTCTGTCATCATTGAGTCAACTGGTGTGGTTTTGATTCCCCGGTTGTACGTGACAAGGAGTAGGGTCGCCTGTCCAACCTTGTGGGTTTTCTCCAGGTCCTCCGATATCCTCCCAATGCTAAAGACCCCTACATGCAAGCGAATTATTGAAATAAAATTGAACCATATGTTAGTCCCCAAAGGACCTAGTTTGTATCGAGTGGATGTTAAACTCCATTTCTCCAAATAAAGTCTGTACAGAGATGAAGATATAGTAGTAATAAATGTAAACTTCAAATGTATTATTGTGTATGGTATTATACTATATATTTTATCTCGCTTGATGTCCGTTTCATGTATAATTTAATTGATGTATTGTTTTTATTTCTATAGGATGGATTATATGAATGTATATTATGTTACATAATTTATGTATAATTTATGTATAATTTAATTGATATATTGGTTTTATTTTTATAGGATGGATTATATGAATGTATATTATGTGCATGTTGTAGTACAGCATGTCCTAGTTACTGGTGGAATTCAGATAAATATCTTGGACCAGCTGTTTTAATGCAGGCCTACAGGTAAACTGATAATCATATTCACCCAAATATAGACTAGTTTGACTCAGGCTATTTTAGTAAGCTAAGTACATGTTATTAATCATGCAGAACGATTTATGTGAGCTGTCATTTCCCTGGGCAGTTGTTAAGTTGATTTAGGAGCATACTGCAACAGTATATTTTGAAATATATATGAGCTCAAAAAAATGAAATGAAATGAGGTTTAACGTCCTACTGTTCTGCTCAGAACTGGGCTAATGAAGACGGGCATACGCCAAACAGTGTGCTATGAGGGAAATTTTGCCCGGACAGCGGTACTACGGTCTACCCTTATATCAAATTCCAGCTGTCAGGGGATCTTTTACGTGCACGCCAATGTGTATACAGGACTTCTTTTTTTGACTCATCAGAAGGACTAGACAGCTGTACATGTCGGATCCTCCATCCTGCACCACTGACAAGGGGGAACCCCGCTGGAATATATGAGCTCAGTGGGTTGTGCATTAGCTGAGATGAACAATGATATGCCACAGCTAATTTTCACTGTTCTTCAGTATGATGGTGTGGACAGTGCTATGACAGCACTGCAGCAGTAGATGTTTCTTAGGGAAAACCTTTCAAATTTATTTTAAAGGTCATTTTTCTGTTCTTATTTAGTAGAAAGTAAATATTTTTCGCAACCATAATGAAGTTTGGGTTTACGAATGGTACAAATTACGCATATCTTTATATATTAGGGGCAGAGAAATTTATCAGAATTTTTCCGATGTGGTTTCCCCTTGTCAGTGGTGCAGAACAGAGGACCACTGTCTAGTCATTCGGATGGTATGAAAAATCAAGGTGCTGTGTATACATTAGCGTGCATGTAAAAGATCCCTTGGCAGTTGGAATTTGATATAACAGTAGGCCACAGTGTCACTGCCCGGGCAAAATTTCCCTCATAGCACACTGTATGGTGTATGCCTGTCTCCATTAGCCCCTTATAGGAGCAGAACAGTTAAACACCATTTCATTTCATGTATATTGGGGGAAAACCCAAAATTATTTACATTCTCAACATATGTGTTTAATTATAATGTTTATAATTATAGATGGATGATTGATTCTCGAGATGATTTTACTGATGAAAGATTAGCTACAATGGAAGATAAATTCTCAGTTTATAGATGTCATACTATCATGAACTGTACCAAGACTTGTCCTAAAGTATGTATATACAATATATCTTTATACAGTAAACATCTGGTACCACTTTCTATTATCAATTTCGTTTTTTATAGTTCAAAATTTTGTTTTACTTGTCTTCACTACACCAGGATCTGGAAGATTAGTTAAAAAAAACCACGTTTGGATGATGTGAGTTATAAGTCAATCAAATTGACTGTTGGGTCGAGTTCTTATTGTCTGGCACACGGAATTGTAGGTAAACATGACCCCCTGGCACAACCTCCTACTACAACCGGTCAGAGTGGAGGCCATGAATGGTATAAAAAATGAAACAAAATATAGAATGTTCTTTTGGGATTTTTCAAGCCCAGTTCTTACCTGTCAAGGTTAGTGCTTGCTTGGCAAAATCCCCCCTCACATTGCTCATGTAATCAACCATTGAAATGAAAGAAAACCATATGTGAGTCTCATAATAACCACAGTATTGTGTTGATAATACAATAAACCATATTTTATTCACTTTCTACTTATCTTATTTCAAGTTCTATTTGTTTTTTACAGGGTTTAAATCCAGGTCAAGCTATTGGTGAGATCAAGAAAATGTTACTTTCATACAATAAAAACGTAGCTGCTAAACAAGCACAAGCATAAATACTTGGGAGTTTGAAACAAAATTCCATCTTGCCTCTCGATAACATATTTCAGCATCTAGAACAGGGCTCTTATTTCACTCAATGTAGCCGGTCATGACCGTTAAAGCAGTAAATTTGTCTGGTTCACAAATGAATTCACCAGTCAATCATAGAAACTGGTTATATTTTGAAGTGGGAGCCCTGGTCTAGAGTTTGTTAAGGATGTATATTGTTATTAAAACGACTCTTTTATTCAAGTGTTGTTATGAATTATAGCATAAAGTTCTACCACATTATTATGCATAAAAGTCTTTCAGGCACAATATTAAAATATCTTATTGTTTGGTCAATATAATATAATAATCTGTTTGTACATAGTTTAAATTGTAATAAAGCTTTTAACATCATGCAATTGCTCATCAAGAGGTATAAAATAGATTTGGTAAAAACTATTGGAACACTTATATCTGGTTTAAACAATATTTATTTGTTTTGTTTACAATTATATAACTAATTTAAAGTATATAGGACACATATGCTAATAAATATTGCTTTCTTTGAAAGATGGACAAAATAAAACAATTTGTAATGGTGTTAAGGTGAATTCAGGTCATTGAAATTTTTTTTCCATGTATTTTAATTTAAATCGAAATGCCATGTGTTGTTAGTTGTAATAGAAAATGTAATAAAAATATATTGTAAGGCTAACTATAATGGTCAATTAAAAGATACTTTCTATCAATCTGATCTGTATTAATCTAGGGCCTGTTTCCCGAAATTTTAACTAAGTTAAAATCCAAATTTTAGTAATTTGATTGGATAATATTAGATTGATTTAGTGCTTAGCCAATCAAAATTGAAATTTCTACTAAAATTTGGATTCTATCTTTAGTTAAGATTTCGAGAAACGGGACCCTGATCTCAGGGAACCCAAAAGATAACATAGATCTGTCAGCCAGATCTTTCAAAGCCAGGATTTTATAACTGGGCAATGCTCGGAAGAGGTGTTTAAAGTTATCACTGTGTACCTTTTGGTGGTGGTACAGATTGTAATGGGTGTTCAGGTGGAGCCTTGTCTATCTGCAGAAGATGAGGATTTTGGCTCTCGTTCAATCATCATAGCCTTGCTTCGCACATAACTGACAAGCCCAATTCGGGACAGGCAAGCCCGGCTACAGCGGATAAAGATTCTGGTATTTCTCGGTTCTTTCTCCCCTGTCTCTTATGGAATCGCTGGCGAAGTCGCACCAATACGTGTATACGTTTTGGAGCTCATATACACTAACGTAATGGCATCACACTGAACGTATTTCTCAGACCATTGCTTCAGGAATATGTTGTTGTGGTTTTCTGATGCCTGAAATGGGAAACGATATCATGTACCCCGTAGTGTATATGACATGGTCCACCTTAAAGCTAGAATAGCAACCGCTAGACCCTGTAGCTTCAAAATCATACCCCCTCCCCTCTTCCTATTTAGCTATAACTGATGTATGTGTTGTGCACATGACAAGGTATGCTCCGTGTTTCAGTATAGTATCATTTATACATTTGATGTTTGTAAATATACATGTATATCTAATGTGTTTTGGTTGTACTTTTTATACGCCCACATTCAAATGTGGTCGTATATGTCGTCAACCCCCCCCCCCCCGCCCCCCGTCCGTTTTGGTTGTACTTTTTTTATTGTTTCATTATGGTTTTTGAAAACTACAAACCAAAAATGGACATAACATTTATAATGTACAGGTAAGTTTTGTACGAAAAGCAATTTGCAGTGCATTTGCAGAAAAAAAAAACAGATCAGGAAGCCGAAATACCACTCAAATATATTTCATATGTCGGGGATCACGGTGGCTAACTGGGTAAGGTGTTGGCTTGCTAGCCTGGAGGTCGGGTGTTCGATCCCTGCATTGGCCGAGAAACTTCATCCACATTTTCCGGCGGGGTAAAGATCCCATGACAGTTGGAATTCGATATAGAGTAGGCCATAGTGCCGCTGCCCGGGCATATGCCCGTCTTCATTAGCCCAGTTCGGAGCAGAACAGTAGGACGCTAAACCCCATTTCATTTCATTTCATATTTCATATGTCAATAAATGGGACAAATATTGAAGTGCATTCACCGAAACCCAAATCTACTTAGTACATATACATATATACGACATGTACTCTTAAATACCCGAATTTATTTCTATCCAAAATGTCAAATAGCGTTGTTATCAGCCCTTAATAAAAATTAATCGGTCACTTTTTCTACAATATATACAATGTTTTGGATATACTACTATGTATTTACCTATATTATTTGTGTTGGGAATAGATAAGATTATAAACTTTGTCCCTTAATGACACACAGGTACACAAAAACAACATAACGATAAAGATAACCCTCCTGGTTATTGGTCGTCATTTTACGATAAAACTATATTTAATAACAAAACAGGCCACACCTCTAACATAACAACACCAGCAGTTTGAAAACACAGGATCGTTATAATAATGTAAGTTGAAGATCATTTTATAAAAACATGTGATTTATTGTTTTATTGTTTTATATGCATCATCGAGGAGGGTTCACTAGTCCTCGGGTGCACTAGTCCACTGCTATAAAAATACTATAAATATGGGTATCAAAAAAAAACCAAAAAAAACCCCAACAGGTATATCATGTCGCGATGTCGTGGTGTCGCCCTTCATACGGCGGCAACTCGACATCACGACATTTTAATACGACAACACGACATTTTAGTCCGACAATACGACATTTTTACCCGACACCACGACATTAAAAATATCGTAATGTCGCGTAAAAATGTCGTATTGTCCTGTTAAAATGTCATGTTCCCCAGTATTTTGCAGCGTGGTCTCCCCCACTCACCCGCCCACCCCTGGACACGCGGCTGATTTTTATGTGATTTGCGGTGGATAGATCAATACAAAATTACAGCAAGAAATGTTTATGTGAAATGATGAGAACAAAACCACCCATAAGTAGTATCGGGGGCCCAAAGTGAAAACCTTGTCTAAAATCCTTGAGAGGCACTTAGCAATGGATTTATGATATAATACTAGAACACTTATTATGGATACAATCACTTGGTTTATTACACTGCAACGTTTCAACAACACTTGTAAAATCGTGTTGAAACATTACAGTATATTAAGTGTAGTTTAATGGTCGAGTGTGGAACATTAAGTAATATATTGATATTGTAGGAGTGCGTTAGCACCAGTTATATATCTATATGTTACGCAATGTCTTGCACAAGACCCTTAAACAACTTAAAATACAGAACTACCAAGCACGTGCATTTCAATTAAATACGCCACACGGGTCCAATATTTTACCTAGTATAAATAATATACCCTTGGCACATTGTCCGTACAATTATTTGAAATCATGACATGCCAACATTAAACCAAGTGTTTGTATCCGTACTAAGTGTGCTAGTATGTACTCTATCTAATGTTGGCGGTTGCCAGGGCCAGTAACTTAGGGAAACCCAACAATTTAACAGACAATTTTTTAATGGTAGCTTAAACATTTGATAATAATAAAGCTAGTAGTAATAATATATATTATAGTAAAGACTGTTGATTACAGGTGCGCTGTTAAAGGGTTATTAAATGTTACTTATTGTACGTATTAACAATCTACTTAAATTTGACTAGCTTTGAATAACAGTGGCCGGCGCTGTTCGGTTCACTGGTCTATTGGTCCCTATAATAACCAATTGCAGCGATATAGTTAGGACTTTGATGACAGAGAGAGAGAGAGAGGGGGGGGGGGGGTAGCGTCCACTCGACAAACTAGGGTATTTCGGGGCCAATACACGGTTCAATATTATTTCAATAATTCGCTTGCGCGTAGGGGTCTATAGCAGTGGGAGGAAACCGGAGGACCCGGAGAAAACCCACGGGGTTGGACAGGCGACCCTACTTCTTGTCACGTACAACCGGGAAATCGAAACTCTACCAGTTGACTCAATGACAGATTTTATGGTACAGCACGCACGTGCTAACCATTTAGCCATCCAACCCCCTAGTTTAAAGTAGTCGCACACTGAAATATGTCGACTTAGTCACTCCTGAGCACCCGCGTGATCCTGTTAGATACATCAGGTACAAATACATTTCAGATTTAGTTGTGCACACGGTTATCTCAGTCAAAATCAGTTACAGTGTGGAGCCACGGTGGCTCAGTGTGTAAGGCGTTGGCTCGCTAAGCTGGAGGTGCCGAGTTCGATCCTGATGTTGACCGAGAAAGTTCATCAGAAGTTTCTAGCGTGGTTCCCCTTGTAATGGTACAGGATCCTGGCAGTCGTTCGGTTGGGACGAAACACAAGCAATCTAATTAATGGTTAGCACGTGCGCGCTGTATCATAAAGCCTATCATTGAGTCAACTGGCGTGGTTTCGAATCCCCGGTTGTACGTGACAAGGAGTAGGGTCGCCTGTCCAACCTCGTGGGTTTTCTCCGGGTCCTCCGGTTTCCTCCAACTGCTAAAGACCCCTACGCGCAAGCGAATTATTGAAATAAAATTAAACCATATGTTAGTCCCGAAATGACCTAGTTTGTGTCGAGTGGACGTTAAACCCCATTTCTCGCTCTCTCTCTTAATTCTTATGTCAGACCGGGCCTTTTTTACAGCGCCCATAATGTTTTGCATTTTAAACAATTCAAAAGCCTGGGATGCCTAGCAATTTTTGGGATGGGGTAGGGTTGAGCACAAGCCAGTGTTAACAGGTTTAGTTTCATCTCATTCAAACTTCTCTAATCTAATCTAACATTACACGTCAATGTTCGTCTCGGTCATCTCAATCTAACATGAGGCGTCAATGTTCGTCTCGTTCATGTCAATAACCAACTAAACAACTCTCAGGGTCTTATTGTTGACGATATTTTAAATAATTATCAGTCGATGCCCGACCTCCCTCGAGTCACTTTCATGTTCGGGGAGAGAGACGCGTTATCTAACGCATTTGGTTTAGGTCATTAGGTCTGTGTCGAGTGGGCGTTACCCCCCCCCCCCCTCTCTCTCTCTCCCTCTCTGTGATTTAATATATATTGTACATATTATACGCTCAAACTAATCAAAATAAACCTATTTGGCTTTCTTTTGTATCGTATTCGCAATGCCTTAAAACCGTATAATATTGTGTTTGAAATAAACACTGCTTAAACGAAAATTTATCTCCGCACCAAACTGTATAAATTATAAAGGGCGTCATTTTTCTAGAACATCTGGTGACACTTATTAATTTAAGTGTTCACATAGCAAACGATTTTGTTGTTTTACATACATAAATACAACTAAAGATTAATCATTTTTGACAATGGCTTTATTTGATATCTGTTATTGTTGAGGTGGGCGGGTCATTTTTTATGTAGATTTCAACTGTCAAAGTTAATATAATCCCTAGCAACGCATAAATAGCACACACGACTTCTATAAGGGGTGTACTGGCTGAAAAGTTCTAAGCCTGTAATAGATGGATCAATTGGGTTGAAACAAACTTTTGTCACCAACAAGTACAATCATTGAATGAATTATGGACATAAGAACTACATCTGTAGTGTTATTATTGTCTTCGTACCAATACCAAACCATTTAAAATCACCAGAAATGAACAAAACTGGCTATAGTACAATCATCAATTCCAATCATCCAATCAGACTGTTGCAGCTGCATTCACAAATAATAATCGATTCCCGAAAATTTTGCACAAAGTAGAGTGACTCCAGACAAAATGGTTTAATTCATAGTCAATACGTGGTATTCAATTTAAAGAAAATTGTAATAGTGTTTTACTAGATTTCGGACACTTTATTTTGCTAACTAGATGAAATAATAATTTTTGTTTTCACTTTACCCGTCGGCCCAAAAAGTCAGATTGCCCAAGAATTAGGCCGAATGGTTACCACGTGCGCGCTGTATCATAAGGTCTGTCATTAAGTCAACTGGCGTGGTTTCGATTCCCCGGTTGTACGTGACAAGGAGTATGGTCGCCTGTCCAACCTCGGGGTTTTCTCCCGGTCCTCCGGTTTCTTCCCACTGCTAAAGACCCCTAAGCGCAAGGGAATTATTGAAATAAAATTGAACCATATCTTAGTCCCGAAATAACCTATAGTTTGTGTCGAGTGGACGTTAAACCCCATCTCTCTCTCTCTCTCTCTCTCTCTCTCTCTCTCACACACACACACATGCTCGGATGTTTGGTACTTAGGAGAGTCTATGGTTAATTACATTGAGTGTCTTAGTGGGTGTTATAATAGCTCTTTAAAGAAGAATGGACTTTAATCTTTATAGGTCAAAGCCACAGCACCTTGACGGTTCTGTAGTTATGTAACCGGAGATTTTGTACTTTATTCTTAGATAATGGCAAACACAAATCCTTTGACGTCATCAGCGCCGTCAATGACACCTTTGCACATTAGTTGTTCTACAGACCACAAACCAAGAGCGTGATCAGCTAAACAAAGGTTTATTCAAGCGCTATAATCGGGCTTTTGTTTGATCAAATAAGCGCACAGTGTAGCATAATAGAATGTATGCTATAATTTGCGATGTATACATACCAAAGCATACATTATAGTATATAATCGCGTTACATATCTACATAACCTTGTGTACGCGATTATTTGGTAACAGCCGGCGTATACATATATAAATACATGCATATATATACGAGAAGGATATACTGTGAATACATTAGCTGTAAACCAGTCATACATCCTCTTAGTCGATCCTACCTGTTTAGTGTCACGTACTGCACAATTATAAATCTTTAAACATCCTGTTAAATTCAATAAGGTATAGTTATTATTTTTTTTTATTTAAGTTGGTTTGTTTTTAAATACGCATCAGAGATAGAAAGCTACTTTGCAGTAAAGAGGTAAATTGATTTTTGTATACTCTATACTCAACGAATTGCACTATTTGTTGAAATAACAAACATAGCAACCGCAATTTACTCTCTTGTCTTAAAAAAACAATCTGAAACATTATTTACTGACATTTGATACATAAACACGGCATAAGACTTCTGAAGGTCATTGCCTCGCGACTCTGTTCTTTCAAGTAGATTCTGTGATATGCCAGTAAAAACGATCAGTTAATTATTTATTTATCTATGTGGCGTTATAACACTTTTTATTTATTTTGTTTTTTTGTGGGGTTGGGATAGAGAGTTCACTTTGGCTAACCGTTTTGTCGGTCTTCATTACCCCAATCAGTGCAGAAAAGTAGGACGCTAAGCCTCATTTTATTTAATTTCTAACAGTTTTGACAGTTGTGGAAATATTATTGTTGTTGCGTTATCTTATAAACCTCAGAATTTCGGGACAGAAGTGACCAAAAAAGGGGGCTCTCTCTGACCGACAATCATCACAATACAATTTATGTGTTGAACTTTCTTTATTCATGTTTTGTAAATAAATGTCGGAAACCAAAATAAACTTCACCAAAACGGTTCACAATCTGTTCTTAAATCCTTAATAGCTAACATATCAAAGACTATCCAATCAATTTCTGGGAAGGCGTTATAACTGCTAAATCTAGGCTGTATTTATAATATTAATAACATTATGATATCGTTACTAAATAACAAAAATAGGGAAGGACCCGAAACAGATCCCTGAGACACATCATTCGATTTATAATCATTAACAATAATTAGCGTATATTCTATCCTTTATTTTTATTTTATTTTATTTTATTTTTATTTTGCTTTTTTCTTAATGACTACTTTTCGGATCACTTTGAACTCTTTGGGATTGATGGGAAGGTGGGTGGTGGCTAGTAAATAAAGAAATAATCAGACGTCTACACATATCAACTGCGGGAACTCTACAAAAATGGTCAAAATGTAACGTTTCCGGATAGTCAGTTTGAGGTCAATATATTTATTATTTCACACTTTGTGTTTGTGAAATTTTTGTCGCTTTCATCTTTAGCTTAAATTTATGGAAATTAACCCTCAAAATTTCGAAAGATATCGTAAAAGCCAATCCTTAGACGTATATAATTTTCTTATTTGTTTAATTTATGTCGCGTTCGAATTACCGTTTAGCACAATAAAAAAAAGTATTAAGTGCATGATCAACACGGAATTAAGGCTAATGGATCCGGGATGACGTTAGCCATAATAATTTGTATCGTGTCTCTAGAAATTGAGCCGTGCGACATCCGACTATAGGTTTTGTGCTATAAATCACGCGATATTTTTACGTCTGCACTGGAAGTGACGTTATTTTGTATCTTCGTCCATTTCAGCATAACATTTGGATGGAAAATATTAATTTACAAAATGAACTTTACTATCTGGATATTCCTTGTCAAAGCACGCAATACAGGGTGAAGGGGTCGATTTTTAAATTTCATTTTATGTTTAAGCAATTTTGATTTAAAGGTGTAAAATCAAAAATTAATTTCTGATTTCGGTCATTTCTGAGAAAAATGTAATTTTGTATACGTTTCTTAACGCCATTTTTATTCCCTTAAAGGCGTTAATTTCTGTTCGATTTTCATAAAATTTTCACAATTTGATGACTGTGGTCATGGTTATTATCATAAACCAATTAAAACTCTTTATTTTTACAGTAAGTTATGCCATTTTTTCAATACTTTTTTCTAATCCGGGGATCACGTGGCTAAGTGGGTGAGACGCTAGCTCGCTAGCCTGGAGGTCGGGTGTTCGATCCCTGCATTGGCCGAGACATGGTTCAATTTTATTTCAATAATTCACCTGCTCGTAGGGGTCTTTAGCAGTGGGAAGAAAACGAAGGACCCGGAGAAAACCCACGAGGTTGGACAGGCGACCCTACTCCTTGTCAAGCACAACCGGGGAATCGAAACCACGCCAGTTGACCCAATGACAGACTTTATGATACAGCGCGCACGTGCAAACCATTCAGCCACCCCCCCCCCCTCCCCATATAGCTAAGGTATTTACAATTTATCCGATGACAAAGTAAATTTCTAAATTGAGATTTTACTGAGAACTAGACAATTTTGTAAGCGTCGATCGTTGAAGATGCATTATTATGTAAGAGCTAAATCCGCCTATTGCAGATATTTCTTTTGGCCTCAAATGTTATATAAATTATTAATTGTAATTTAGTCGCATGACAAACAGACAAACCCATAATCAACTCTCGAGACTATCGGATGATCGTGAATTTAAATAGATTGAAACACGATCGCCATTATTAATAATTTGATTTAAAAATGGATACCCGGGAATATTTTTCGTAACAATGGTAACAATGAAAATCGAGAGCACGCCATTTTTTTTTTTTATCAAAACTTCCAATGTTGATAACTTCGCTAAGAATAAAGTAATTTGTCTGAAATTTTCAAGATATTCCTTTTTCATTTTCTATTTTTATATTATTATAGCGAGAACTATCAGCTATTCATCTAAATCTTACATTAGACATCTTTAAGTTTTTTGATGATAGATGGATTTTTATAAAATTGTCACCATTCGATACCATCATCGATTACATCGAATTGTGTGCAATTAAAGATTGACACCGGCAGTGATGCCAAATTAGCACAAACTATATTGATAAAGTATTGATTGATTTTACTAGAAAATCTATAGCACACATGGAACCGGATGCATTATTGCATTTGTGACCTGATATATTTATCGGGTCTGCGAGCTAACTAAACACTTTTAATGTATTTTTAAGCTAATGTATTTGTTATTATATTCCCCCTTTTATTATATAGTTCTGTGTGTTTTACGGTTAGATATAAATATTAAGGTCAACTGCAGATTTCGTCAAGACGAAAATAGGGTTAGGGCACGTGATTATTGACTAGGTAGTGCGAAATCTGCAGTCGGCATTAATATTTAAACCTAACCGTGCTTTCGTATAAGGGGTCCCATCTTCATTTTCCCGGTTGGTGCAGAATAGAAAGCCGTTAAACTTCATTTTATTCCTTTTGTTGTTTGGGAGTTGGTTACGTGGATTTTCGGGTCTTACGACCCTTTATCAAATGTTTTAATTGCATCCGGTAGCGTACGGGTCGGGTTGGCAATGCAGTCACAGAAAGCGTTTTAATCATTGCTCCTCTATATTTTGCACTGAGCCGCTTTTGAACCTTGGGGTTCAAATTCAAACTAGAATCTTCAAGACTAATATTACAATTATAATCTCACTTAGTATTATTCATATTAAAATACCATTCGAATAAAATATGGTAAAGTAACATGTTGGTATATTGGACATCAAAGCCAGTTGGAATTCTGGCACCCAACCCCCCACCCCCTAAAAAAAAAATAAAGAAAAAATAAAATAGCACAAAGGATAATCATTTTATGATAATATGAAGTGTTTTATTTGATTTTCAATGTATTTACTACAAACTCTATTCATGAAGGGAGGGGGTGGGGTGGATGGCTTAATAGTAAGAAAGTGTGCGCTGTATCACACGGTCTGCCATTGAGTTAACAGGCGGGGTTTCGATTCCCCGGTTGTACGTGACAAGGAGTAGGGTCGCCTGTCCAACCTCGTGGGTTTTCTCCGGGTCCTCCGGTTTCCACCCACTGCTAAAATCTACGCGCAAGCGAATTATTGAAATAAAATTGAACCATGTGTTAGTCCCGAAATGGCCTAGTTTGTGTCGAGTGGACGTTAAACCCCATTCTCTCTCTCTCTCTCTATTCATGAAATAAGAACATCTATTCATGAAATAAGAACATTTATTTTTGTATTTTATGTAATATGAAAGTATAAAGTATTATGTCTGATGCAATATGTGGTATTAAAGGTCAACTAAATTCAAGTTAAGGGTTAAAAACGTGACAATATTTTCAGATCACTTTGTTATCTTACCTGTATTGTACTGCGTGTCATTGGATGTTATCATATCTTTAGAAGGTCACCTATAACGTCAAAGATAGTCTAAATATTTCAACACCCACCGTCAAGGTTCCGTTGAAATTACGAAGTTCATGTATTATAGTTTTTTAAAGGATGATTGGGTGGCAGAGTGGTCTGACACATGCTTTGTGATATCATTAGGTCTGTTATCAAGTGATGTCATGGGTTTAGGTTTGAACGTTATACAAGAAATACGTATGATTGCCTTCCTGGTTTCTCAAGGTACTCTGCTTTCATCCCACTTCTAAAAATCCTTGCAAGCGAATTATTGTCATAAAAATATGCCATAAAAGATATATATTGTTAGTGATCTAGGTCTTTTTCATTTTACCGTCATGGTGTGAGCCCTGGATATGCAACACATGTATCTGAATAAATTATTTTCTGCTGCACCCGGGCCAATGAAGACGGGCATACGCCGTACAGTGTAGTACTACGATAGAAATTTTGTCGGGATAGTGACGCTACGACCTTAGTCTCTAATTCAAATTGCAATTGTCGAAAGGTAGGCCGTAGTGCCGCTGTCAGTGCAAAATTCCCCCATATCACACTGTATGGCATATGCCTGTCTCATTATCCTGGTAGATGAGAAAAGTAGGACATTTATGTTAAACCCGCTGTATCATAAAGTCTGTCATTGAGTCAACTGGCGTGGTTTCGATTTCTCGGTTGTACGTGACAAGGAGTAGGGTTGCCTATCCAACCTCTAGGTTTTCTTTATTCATGTTTTGTAAATAAATGTCGGAAACCAAAATAAACTTCACCAAAACGGTTCACAATCTGTTCTTAAATCCTTAATAGCTAACATATCAAAGACTATCCAATCAATTTCTGGGAAGGCGTTATAACTGCTAAATCTAGGCTGTATTTATAATATTAATAACATTATGATATCGTTACTAAATAACAAAAATAGGG